GCTGAGGCTGAAGCTCACACTGTCATAATCCTAAATATGCTCGGGCCCTACACATTACGCAGTGTTGCACTTAAATTTCACACTTAAATAAACAACTTCCAGGCTGCTGGCTGCTGGCTGCTGGCGCTGCTGCTGGTGTGCCTGTGCTTCCTCTGGCGCTGCCTTCGCTTAGATGGTGCTACTACCTCTTGGCTGTTGGCTGTTGACTGTTGGGGCTTGCACTTCGGCCAGGTCCGGGTGCTTGGCCTACTTTGGCGCCCACAAACTGCTAACTGGCAAAAAGCAGAGAGCCCCGCGCCGGAGAGGCTGTGAGCGAGAGCGAGCGGAACAACAAGTATAACTCCCGAGTGGAACACGCACACAAACACGCATAAATTGAACAATACAGAGGCCCCGGGTCCTGGCCTCATCCCGGACCCCATTCCTGAGAGCCCCCTCCCACCCACTCTATGACACCGCAGAAAATGCGCCACATGTTATGGCCCCGTAGGAACTACGGAACTGCTGTGGTCTACAGGGGAGCGGCAGCAGACCGGGGTGTTGGTTTTGGTGCTGCCATTTCGGGGGAGGGGACTTGCTTAAAGTGCTTTTACTACGCTTAATTCGCATAATTAATTTTGTTAGTAAACTTTGGGGGGCTAATACATATTTTGCCACCGTTGATGTTGCTGCTGTTGTGGATTGTAGTCGTTGCTTATTTCGCGGCAAACACCCAAACTCACGCAGCTGCTCTTTATCTGTATGGGTGTGTGTATGTAGACACCCTGTGTGTGTGTGTATCTGCCTTTTCCGTTTATGTTTATTCATTGAATTTATGACATTATCGTTGCCTACTTTGCGGCACCAGGCATGGCTGCCAGCCTGCTTACGTTTGACAGTATGCGTGTATGCGTGTATACATGTATGTATGCACTGCGGTTGACTGTGTGTGCATGCGTACATGTGTGTGTGTGTGTGTGAAGCCTGCAGGCCAGGTAATTGCACTTGTGTTTTGCAATCATGCCTCGCCCAGTTTGCCCGGCACTTTATGTTCAATACCGCTGCCGGCCATAGATTCAGCTCTACAGGCGACACTCGCTTGACTCGCCTAACTCTTCGATTGGCATTAATACATATATTTCTTCAATATTTATGAGTTGTAATTAGTCGCTAGGAGATATAAAACACCACAAAGTAATCAATCGATCAATTTAAGAGTAATCTAGATCCTGCTAAGTATTTAGAATTACTTTATAAATAGACTCAGAAGTAAACTTGTATTAAAGTAAAAGACTGCTCTATTTATCCCTAGAATATCCCTATCATATACGTTTCTCTCCTCAACTACTTTCTACAAATATCATTACTCAAGGAGACATATCAGCGGAAACTATATTTAAATGATATTTTAATGGTATTTATATTCAGACTTCACTGTGATTGGGCCCTGTTTTTGCAACTAGCGGCTTAATGGTGGCTGGCAAGCGTTTATTTACTTTATTATTGCATATTTGCATGCAGGCCCAAATGTGCGTGGTTTATGCGTGTGTTTGCGTGTGTGGAGGAGGGAGGGCTCGACAATTCGAAATTGTCTGTTAACTGCATTGGAGCTCCGCCTTTATGGTCCTAGAATCTGTGTGTGTTTGTATGTGTGTGTGTGTGCGTGAGTGTGTGCTCATTTGAGCCTGCTTCCTCAGATGCGACGCCTGCTGCTTGACTGCTGCTTATGGCGCTTACCTTCTGCTGTTAATGCTGGGTCATTATCAGCAGTCGCCAATCACCATCACCTGGACGCCTGCATCCTGACCATCTTGTGGCTGTGGCATTAAGCAAACACACTCCAGCGATCGCATGATTGGGCAGGTGCCTGGACCTGGTCCAGTCTCATTTCCGTGACCATTTATACATAGACCGACCGCAACCAGGACAAGGTCTAGGCACGCTCAGATACACTACTGTTGCTAGAGTTTAGATTAATTCGAAAAGGACGAGCACTTAATGGCGATACGGTACTGAATCAAATTGAAGCACACTTTGTCATGGCCCACTTTTGATGGCACTTTTAATAGCCCCGACAAATTACTAAACAAAACATTTAGCGGCCTAATTAATGGGCTCGCGGGGAGGGCGCGTTTCAATTATTCATGAACCCGAAACAACACTCGACAGCGAAACACAACATAATTAGTGCATAAATTAGTGGTCACACCAACACACACACACACAAATGTATGTACCATATACCATATAAATATACCAATACTTATACCATCACAAATCAAATGGCATATCGAAGGGCGGGTTTAAAGTGCAGCCTACTTTGGGGGGGGGGGGTTCGGTGCTCGCCTGACGTCTGACAAAACTGCACTTAATACAACTAATTTTCCCCAGGCTGGTGGGCCTAATTAATCAGATTTTCCGCGCTTAATGTACATTTAATTGTGGGCACGGCTGTAGCCACAAATATCGAGCAGCAGAAGGGCTTAGGCGAACGCTTCGTATACGTAATGCGAGGCTCTTTAAGCGTATTAAACGCTTATTTCGCAGCTTCACGGCCATCGAATTCAACAGCCTCTACAGGAGGCACCCTAGCACACAAGTTATTTTAATTAAAACCATTATTTTTGTATCTCTGCTCTTAACGATGCCGTGGCCGCTGCCGCTGCCACTGTCCTTGTTTCATTTGTTTCCTTTTATTAAATACTTTTCAAAATGGTCGCCAGCTCCGCCGGAGAGCCGCTGACCATGCCATGCCAGGTTGCGGGCGCTGTATTTAATAATAAAGCAGCCAAATCCGCAAATAAAGTGTAAATGATAAAATTGTCATTGGGATAAAAGGCGAAAAAAATGAATGCAGAAAAAAAGGAAACTACAGCTACAAAAACTTCTGCAAACAAAATCCCCGTGAACAGTGAAATGACCTCAACTTGGCACATTTTTAATTAAACTGCATTAAAATAAATTGAAAGCGCATCCAGTATATATCATTTATATATATTTATATTGAATTTTAGCGGCAAAGAACTATTTTTTAATTAATTTGTCGCAAGTGACAGACGACACAGCGGCAAGCAACAAATTATGGCAAAACACCAGCCACCAAAGGCTTGGCAGATCAACGAACCCTTGATGCCCTGCAAGGGTGTTTGCGAAAATATAAAATTAGAAACTCGTGTATCTAATATTTATTTCAGGTAATAAAGAAACTTTACGGAAAAGTGGTCAAGTCTAATAGATCGTATATTCCCTTCTATGCTGTTTGCCTGTCCAGCAATCCATGTTTCTTATCCCAAAAAATGTACTTTAAATCACTCTAAAGGTCGTAAATTTTGGCTTTCATCCGGCAATACAAATACATTTTTTCTTTCAATTCCGTTTGTGAATATACTTTGTAAATATTCAGTTTTTTACTAATTTGTCATTTTCAATGCACAGACAAATTCATCTAAATTTTGCCACCTTGTTGAGAGCCTAAGAGAAGAAAAACTATCGAGGAACTCTTTAAAATCAATCAATTTTTGAATATACAAATGTTTTATAAGATGTCGAAATTCTTTATTGTTGATTAACTTTTAATTTAAAGCAAATATAATGATTTAATTGATTAATTCATGTTAAATATGTAAACAATGCAAACATTTTTTTATTAAAAAAGTATTAGCAATGCCTGTTTTGTACGAGGTGTTACTATTTAGAAAACATCAATGATCCAATAAAAAATGCAAGTTCTATCTATATTTGCAAAATAAATTTCATAGTTTTAGTCCCAACTACCATGACACGACTGATGGACCTTGACAGGTCTGCAAACCCATGGAAAAATCAGTGGAGAAACCAAGCACAAAAGTGTTAAAATGATATCACAACGGATTAATGTGCTTAATAGGGCAATTATAGTCATCAAAAGAGCAACCAGCGATTGCCGGAGCCTCCAACCCGCCCCGCCCTCACCCACACTCGTACTCCAACTCAAACTCAACCTTCATACCCAGGCCCAGTTCCGCCCTGGCACTGCATAAATTAGTTGCACCACTGACCAATGGCCAGACCGAGGCCAGGAAACTTCCAAGAGCCTGGGCCTGGGCCAGGTCAAGTCAAGTTGTCTACTAATTGCCGTTTTACTGTCACATTTGCTTCGGGGATTTACATGTGCATACATTTGACATTAATATTTCCAGTTGGTCCTGCTCTAAGCCTGTCCCAGTGCAGGGCTACATCCACACCCACATCCACAGCCGCAGCCACGGTCAGCCCATCAGGATTGTCGAGTGGTTCGTGTGCATTTTATTAATAACTATTCCCCAGCCAGCTGTGGGCTTATGCAAATTAGCGAACGGACATTAAGTGCAGTTAACTTCAGTTTGATTCGGCTGCGTTTTTGGGGGGCAGGAAAGTTTAAAGCCCAAAACTGTGCAACACTTTATGGCTGCTTCGCTGGGGCTAAGAGTTAAGAGCTAGGGCGAGTACTAGTGCGATTGCGAGTGCCTGTGAGGGACGGAGGCGGAGCCAAGTAAATTAACACTAATTACAACATAATAACTATAAAATCGCAAAGACAAGTGCTCGGCAGTAGACTGAACAGCTCATTGCCGGGCACTTGCCACTCAACAAGCCGCCCAGGCCGTGGAGTCGAGCCAAGTTTCTTGGCCTGTCTGCCTGTCTGCCTGCCTGTGCCGTGGCATGACTCAGGCCGCCTGCAGTGCCGTGCAGGAGCAGAGTCCGGAGAATGGCGAGCAAAACAAAGTGCAAAACATGATTAAGAGTGAAATATTTATTTGCAGCACTTGGAGGCGCGCCACGGCAGCACCAACAATTAGAAACAAGCTACTACTAAACCCGCTGCCAGGCTGCCTTGCTGCCAGCCTGCCCCCACTCGACCGCCCGGACTCCGACATGGCTTAAACATGTAAATGGCTGCGCCAGGGCCGCAGGGCACAAGCCGTGAAGCAGCGATGATTTAATGGCTGCCAACTCGCCAAAGGAGCAGGAATAGCACTACTGCAACAAGTGCAGGCGGAGGAGCACAACAGGGCGAAGGACTTTGAGATTAATTTAATTGTATTATTATTAGTAAGACGCATACTATAAAAATCTGTGTGTATCGTATCTTAATGGCTAAAACGCTGAAAGGGCTAAATGCAAACTTAAGTCTAGTAGTCCTCCTCCTCAAAGCCGTAGCCAAACTCGTCGTCGTCGTCAGCGCCCTTGTACAGCATGTCCTGCAGCGAGGCCTCTGGCTCCGCCTCGGGCTCCGGCTCTGCCTCGTCTACCTCGGCCTCGTCCTCCAGGAAATCTGTGGAAGAGAGATTTCCATTAGATTGCAAGCAGTTCCATTGGCCCAGCGCTACTTACCTGCTTCCAATACGGGCTTGGTATCAGGCTGCTCTACCTCCAGCTCAGGCGCCTGGCTGATAGGCAGGCCTGCCTCAATCTTGGGCCGTTTCCTGCTGGGTCCAGGCAGATCGTAGGCTGGCTTGGACCGACTGCCCTTAGGGGCAATGGGACCCTCTTCCACAATGACCGGCTGCTGCTTCAGTTCCTCCAAGGTTGTGGGCTTAGTGTCCACACTGGATGACGGGGATTGGCCCGTCAGGCCGGCAATGCTGTCAGTTAGTGTCTTGAGGATGTCGTAGTTGATTTTGCTGGAGATTTTCTTCTCCTGAAGCATCTTTTCGATCGCCTCGCCAGCCGTAGACGATGGACCGATGACCTTCTTGCGCGGCTTTCGTTTTTTCTTCTCAGGCTTGCCCTCCTCCCGCTCCTTGGCCAGCCGCTCGTCGCGCTCCTTCTGCTCCTGCAGATACTCCGCATTCATGTTCTTCCACATTTCCAGTTTGGTCACAGCCTCATCCTCGGTCAGCACATACTGATCCAACTCATCATCGTTCAGATCGTCGATGACGAGCTCTGTTTCCAGTGGCTGCTTTGCCCTCTCCACATCCTCCAGTTCGCTTTGAGTTACCCGACAAATGGCCTCGATATCGGGCCGCAGGCCCTCAATGCCTGCCATCAGGCTGCCAGGCTCCGTCTTTTTCACATCCTCATTGTGCTCAATCAGATCTTTGATTATCGCAGCATTGGACTGCTCAATGAACTGTCTGGAGTCCTCCATCTCTATGTCGTTCTCGCAGACACTTTTCGGTGTGCCAGGCTCCGAGCCAAATGAAGTGTCGCCCTTGATTTTCGTCAGTTGACGGAACACGCTGCTGGAGTACTTCCCGAGATCCTTTTCCAGATGTGCATCAATCTCCTTTTGCAGTTCCGTCAGCTCGTGCTCGCCCATCTACGGGAGCGATTTATAAAATAAATAAAATATGCGCGAGAGCTCCACTGTGTATCACTTACATCCTTGATCCTCTCACGATCCTTTTTCCGTGCTGCCCTGAAGGAAGGCGGATCCTGTTCTCGCTCCAAGTCCACGGTCATAAACTCCTCCAGCGTTAGACCGCCCGACGGCGTCTCGGCGAACTCGGAGAGGCGCTTGCGCAGCGTCGACTCATGAATCTTGACCACACCGATCACATCAACCATGGTGCGGCTAAAGTCATGCATGCGTGCGGCAATCAGGAGTGCTTAAAGGAGGGATAGAAAATTGAATATGCATGAGGTAACCGTTTTCGCCATTCACCTTTAACCGAACTATAATCCCATCTCACCTGCTCCACAGAGTCCAGTGGGTCGTCGTCCCGAGTGCATGCAATCCTTCTTCATCCGCTGGACAATCCTCAGGGCCGTCATGGACACCTCATGGGTCTTGGCGCCCAGCTGCAGGCGATTGGCAAACCGCATAATGTACAGGCAGGGATCTGTAAAAATAGAAGAGCAATAAGGAAGCAATGAGTATCAACAGATTTAAATAACATTAGCAAACCAAACCACTGCAAGAGCATCAGCCGAAGAACTTGTTCGACGACCTTGAAGCCCGGCTCGGCTCGGCTTTGCTGCCCAATGAAATCGAAAACATTCAATAACCGGCCCCAGACAACCATGGACAGCCAGCTGCCGAAATAAACAGTCTTGAACCCGAACTTCAGGTATATACGAGTATGTTTTTATTCAATTCATTCAACTTTTACATGAGGCCCACAGTCAGAGAGAGCGAGAGAGCGAAGAGTGCAAGAGTCGGAGAGTGGTATATCAACTTTATAGCATGCGATAAATTGTGCGCGCGCTCTCCATACAGACATCACGCATCCGTCACGTAGTCCAGCGTTTATCCCCCTCGCATAAGTTTGGGGCCATTCGATGGCCCATTAAACCAATAATTAGTTGTATTTGAACTAGATGAAAGATAAGACCAGACCAGCCAAGGAAGCCGCCGCCAACCGACAACGAACAACATCGACACCAACCTGTGCAATTAACACTTGGCCCAGTCCCAGTCCCAGTCAGAGACCCAGTCCCAGCCATCCAACAACACAGCAACGGAACAAAAGGCAAAGCCAAACGCAAACAACAATTAACGCACGGCAAATATCAGCTCGACAACGCAATGGAAAATCAAAAGCCCCAGATCCAGAGACGCGACCTTGCCAACATATTTGCTAGCGTTTTTTCTCTTTTTTGTTTTTGTTTTTGTTTTATATATTTCCCCTTTTTTTGCAGTTGGGAAATGTCATAGAGTGAGGGGAGATTTCCCAAGAAATAACAAATACTGCCGGCTGTGGCTGTGGCTGTGGCTGTGGCTCTCACACAATGGGGTGAGAAATTATTAATTTCAATTTTACATAATCGTTTGAATAATTGTCCAAGTAAATGATAAAATAATTTTGAGTATAATTACTCATTTAATTACAATTAAATGGTTATTGTTTGGCCAGACCAGCGAAATTATGTGAGCGCATACAAAAGCGAGAAAGAAACACAAAAGAAACCTCTTGTTTGTGTGTTTATTTACAGGAAAATAATCTACAAAATGTCACAGTAAATACAACATTTACAAAACCTTTTTTAGAGCAATGCAATGGTCATTTCCCACAGTTCAGCATCATATAAGCCATGATATGCCTCGCTTTTCGTGCACATTAGCCGCCGTCTCCATGGTAGTCCTCCGCACTTTGTGCCACCAGCTTGATTGTTTATGCCGCTCCACTTGACACACAAAGGCAGATGGCTGTTAAACGTCAACCACGGCTGCCCCAGCCATCTCCTAGAGGAAGCTTGTCAAAGTCTCGCTAACTGCACTTGACAAAAAAAAGAGGAAAAAAGAAGACCAAGAACTAAGCAACAAGAGGAAAAAAATTATTTATTAAACCCTAATGAATGCGCACATTTGTGGAGGCCCGCTAGCAGCCTCCCTCCAGCCAGCCAGCCAGCCGTCCATTCACCATCCCACCATCCGAACCCTCGGAAGCAACTGCCGTTGAGTGCCCCACTTGAAAAATGATGCCGCCACTGCGGCTGTGACTGGGAACTGCGATTGGGAACTGAAAGAGTGACTGGGGACATGCTTCATTGACCCTTCAGCACCACGCCCACACATCTAGAGCAGCTGTTACTCCTGGGATGCGATGCGAGATACTGTTGGGGAACTGCTACTGCTCGACAGTGGCCTGCACGGCTGCTGCTAATGGTTTCTTAATGTCTCCCGGCCCAGCCCTACTCTGCCCTGCGGACAGTCTGCAACTGCAGCTAGTGAAATTATTATTATTTAAACTTTATTTTTGCGTTTGTCATGACAGCAATTATCATTTTGGGTGCGGTTGGGCCGCTTCTCCCCGCCACTCTCCCCACAAGGCTGCCTTTGATTACTTTGCGTTTTCTGAAAAATGCCGGCAATTTTGGTTACTGGCTCGGTGTTTTCCTCGACGCAATTAACTGTAGTGCCTGCTTTAATTGTTTTGTAATTGACCAAGAATTCGTGATTAATGATGAAATTGGAATCTTGGGAGTACACAATACTTATTGTGTGCCCAAGAGTTTAACTAAAAAAGGTCTGTGCTGGAAAGACCTTACACTACTCATATTACAATCCATTTAAAGAAGAAAAATAGTAGATGTACATAGGTCCAAGAGCACACTCTTAAATTTGATTCATATTTAACTGGATTCGTCAAATACGAATCATATACTTTGGATTAACACATAAATCTATCCAATGTGAAATCTAGGTTTTCGAGTTAACAAACACAAGTCTGTTTGCGCTCTATAAACATCAATTCAAGTTCAGGGACGACAATCGGTATGACGAGCTGGTGGAACCAGGCTAAAGGTCTCACCTCATGAATGAAACATTCTAAAATGTAGATTCGAAACTTTTCCGCGCAGTGTAGGGGCACTCACGAAATCTGTTCGCACTCAATAAACATACAATCAAGTGCAGAATATGGGCACAGTTATCGCATGGGATAAGTGACCGTCTCAAGGCGAACAAACACGAAGACGACGAAGGCGGGCAGAGCCGCTCGGCTGTGATCTTTAGCTTCACCGTTGGCTCGGTTCGTCTCTCACTACGAATTCGTTCGTTGGCTCGCGCGCACCTCAAGCCGCAGTCGCAGTCACAGTAGCCCCCACCGTCCCAGTCCCAGTCTCAGTCCAGTCTCAGGCCCCGGTCGAAACATTCTGCAACAGAAAAAACCACAACAACGTGGCCGGTCGACGCGCATGCGCAGAGGCAGCTGGAAAAAAAAGAGTCCCTCCTCACATGTAAAAAATCTTCTTTCAACTGCTGTGGTTTCTCGAGAGTGTGAGTGGTTTGCTTTTTGCGGCTGCTGCTGCTGTACAAATTACCAAAGTGTGTATTCGTACGGGTATTCGTACAATTGTTTGTTAAAATAATAATAATCACTTGCAGTGTGCGCGTAGCTCGCTCGCTTGTTTGTTTGTTCTCCTGTTGACGTTTTAATTTATGTGCAAATGCCGGTTGGGGCGTCAATTACTGCGAGTGAAGTGCAAATATTACACAGATACAAGGAGGAGGGGTCGAAAAAAATACCCAAAAATTCCATGCAGATAATTGCTTATAATGGCTTTGGATTAAAGCCCCGACGAGAGGCTCTTCATATTCTAACATTCAACTCCAGTGAAGTGCAAAAAAAACCCCCCAAAAATTTCCTACAGATAATTATTCTAAATGATTGTGGATTAAGCCTGTATGATACACTCTTAAAGTTCTTCTGAATGACTGAATTAATGTAAAAGATGTCCAATCAGCTGATTTTGAGAGTCTTCACAAGTCAATTTTACAAGTGAAAAGCAGTAAATTTGTAAGGTGCTAATAAGATAAATTTAATACAATGCTCATATTTGGCAGAAGTTAAATCTGTGTATCAAAATATTTAAATAAAATCAAATTATTCGTTTAGCACAGAAGCAGTTCACATAACCTTGAAAAGCAGTGCTAATCCTAGAAGCAGTTTCTGCTGCTTGGTGTTCTTTTTAATCTAAAATTGAAAGGCAGTGCAATTTGATAAGCAGTAGACTAACCCGACAAGCAGTTCCCATCTTAGAAGCAGTTTCTACTGCTTGCTACCAGTTTCATCTCCCTCTAATTGAATTAATACAGTTATTCATTAGAACTAATGAAATTAAGTGTCATACAGGCTTCAGCTGTCTGTCTCTCTTTCTCCAAGTCACGCTCTCAAAGTATCCATATTTTTCTCTCTCTCTCTCGAATGTGTCACGTGTTCGGTTTGTCTTCTTTATTGGCTTCAATCTCTGTCCCATTCAGTGCAAACTGTATAAATGATACATAGATATTCCATCGATAACAGCCGCGAATGAACAGTTGCAGCAGTTAATTGATTGCCCAAATATGTGGATAAGCTATTAAGCCACCATCCAGATGTGAGAAGCAAGCAAATGCTGTGGCTGGTGTGATGAGAGCCTTGCCGAAGGTCACCTCCCCCCAAGATGGTGCAATGAAAGTGCTAAGCCTTGAATGGAATCAACAATCAATCAACAAATCAAAGAACACTTGAAAATACTTATTTAATCCCACCCGAAAAGCACATGGCAGTGCATTAACGATCAGCTGATTCTCAAGGGTGCTAATGGTGCTATCTTCAAGTGAAGTCTCGACTCTGTTATCACCTACGGACTGAGTAGATCGCCGGTTCTGGCCGTATAACTATCTGTGAAATGCACTTCTCACTAATTACTAACTATTTAGCTATAATTTTCCGCTCATAACTATGATTTTGATTATTGTTTCTGGAGGTGATTTTTTAATGACTGTCCGTCGGTCCGCCCTCTGTCAGTGTTTGCCAATAGTCCGGGGTTCGGACTGAAATTTCCCTGCCCTGCCAGCGCAAAGATCAGTCAAAAGCTCACCACAATTTCTTGTTTGTTCTTTCAACTTAAAGTCAACAGCAACAGAAACAGACACAGACACACCCTGGCGAAAATAAAGCTTACGAAATGGCATAAATATATCTTTCTATTCTGGGCATCGAAATGCCATTTAAAATTCCACTCAAGACTCCAGCGGACTGGGGGGACATGAATATTTAAATATTAAGTAACGCCGGGCACAGAAAGCGTTTTTGTCCAAACCGACTGACTCGATGACAATTTGTTGTTGCCACCCAGCAGAAGATTATTTAAAAACTTGAGCAAAGAAACGAGCAGCCAAAGAATCCAGAACTGGTTCCAGACTCAGCAAAAAATGTACGAAAAAAACCATAAACATTTCACAAAGAATATGTCACAAGAATTAAATAAAACCGAATCGAATTTAGCAATTCATTCGCACTCGAATTCAACGCATTCAATAGGGGGGATTTTACTGGGCCAAGCAATAAAAAAGATTCGAAAACAAACAGCAGCAAAAAAAAAATGTATTTTAAAATTTAAAAAAAAAATGTTAATTCGTCAAGTCATTAGACAAAATGCAGCATGACTTGAGTTACCAAATAATCTAAAGAAATATGAAAAGTGAGTGAGAAAAACTGCATGTTAATGTCTATAAAATGATCTGCAAATTAAAGCGTCTAAAGGCGCAGACGCCAGGCCGACCCAAAGACAGAGCCCCCAACCGACAGCCGACAGCCGACAAGCCGAGTCTGTCTGAATAATTGCGAAACAACCTAAGGGCCCTCGAAACGAGGCATAGACTTATACGAACACAAAACCCCACTCCGGCATCGAGAGTCGCGTCGAGTCGAGTCGGACGCGGCAAGTGACTACTGCCAGATGGAACTCAGACTTTTGAGCGTGACAAGAATGGGATAGACTCTGGCCGAAAAAACCCCCAACCCGGGAGGAAACAATGGGAAGTGGTGTTAACTTCCTATATAAAGCCTCCCCATTAGCATGGAAATATTTGTTGGCTTGAGATTTTGGAATATCTAGAATTATTAATGGCACTACTGTGCCTTGACATGTAGGTAGTTAATGGCGATGTACCCCATATGGAATGCATTCAGTATGGAATTCCTTATCAGTATTACTTTTGTTCAATCGCTGATTTTCGCTCAATTGATCTGCTCAGTGAATCCTTTCATAGGAACCTTTCAAAATAGGCAATATACCATGATCTATATAGATGTGATCTAACCTCAAGCTAAATGCATTGCAACCCAAGAACAACCCGTTTTGAAAGCCTCGTTTTTATCAGATTGCAGTGTTTTTAAGCTGACCCAAAACCATTCCATCCCAAGACAAAAAGCCTCGACCACTGGGGCAAGTGTCCAATATAACGAAGAAAAAAATCCCAACAAAATACAGACAAGAGAGCACATAATTAAAGTGCAAAATCGACAAATCAACAAAACTGCTTGACCGACTGATCTGTGGATCGACCGTTCGACTGTTCGACCGATCGACAGTTCGAGCGTTTGACCGACGAATCGTGGGTTCGAAGGCATGGGCCACGTGAGCGAATGGTTTTTCGGCCAGACACGGCCCAAGCATATACATATGCGAGTGTGTTTGTGGGGACCCTGGAGGTCGTTGCTTTGCCAGCTTTAGATGCCAGGCTTGGATCTGGAAGGGAGGAGTTTTGTAGGGAGGGTTAAGTGCAGGCAGACCCCCGTTTTATGAGACATTTTGCTAATCAGTTATATGCGTGGCGATTGCAAAATTGTCTTAAAATGAAAAATGCAACAAAAGGAGCTCGTTAAAAGCAAAGAGCCGAGAAATAATGAGAAACCAAAAGGCAAAAGACAAAAGACAGAAGAAACAGCCACAAAAACAGAAACAGAAACCGAAACCGAAACACAGAAAGAGAAACACCAAAGAAAAGACAACTCTTCACTTTTTTCTCCGAATAGCCGTCGCAGTCGCCATCGCTTACACCTCTTCATGCTCGGACATACATATGTTTTCGCTGGTGGCTTACTTTTGGGGGAGGAGAGTGTAATGAGGAAACAAAAATCGAAAGTGTTACGCGGGCGTTGCTTTGAGGGTCTGGTGCCTGGGCTCTCTCTCTCTCTCTCAAAGTATGACCCGACAGGGCCCCAATGTGGGTCACTCCATTTGCAATTCAAGAGGCAATGAAAAATGAAATGAAACACAAGCCCCCACCAAGACCACAAATAAATTAAGAAAAAGGCCGCCACAAGTCAATGCAGGCGGCAAATTTGAAATGCGTTTCATACTCGCACAAAGTGGAAAGACTGTAACAGTGCGGAAAAAACCCATTTAATACGAAAATAAACTTGCACATAGGAACAAATTTCACAAAATGCTGAAAAACAAAAACACCACCAAGCCGAAAATAAAACAAAAGCCTACAGCTGATGAATAATAAACGTGACTTGATTGTTAAGCCAAGAAATTAATTTAGCATAAATTGAGTGTGTGTTTTGCATGGCAGCTGGGACGGGGATGCGGACGGGGATGGAGATGGAGAAGGAGAAGGGATGGGACGATGGGGCTGTCTGGGAGCTAACAGCTGCACAGATTTATGTCTGCCCAATTGATTCCCATTTGACAAAGAATATATCCATAAATTCCAATTAACCAACAGTTAAATGGTCGGTTGCCAGCCCAGAGCATCAGCAAACAAATGACAGCACAATTTGCACGAAAATCTGTCATAAGAAATCACTTAAGGGTGAAACTGATAATAAAAAACGAAGTTATATTCTCTATTTCCTTTGTATTTCCGTATAAGCGGTTTTTTTGAAGTTCAATGTTGTCCATAATTACAGCTTACTAACTCACATTGAATTCACTCAGAAATACATTAAGCACATATCATTTTGACATAAAAACTATAGAAATACATATACATACACTAGGAGGCAAGTTTGTTATATAAAAAAGCACAAAAGCAAACCGTGCCAAAAACAAACACATACATTTTTTATAAAACTACAACTTTAAGAGACAAATTCATATATCTTATAGGCTATCAATAGCACTGACCAAATCATTGATCGCATTGCGATTCGACCAAGTTCAAGAGCCGGTAATTAAGCTATCACAAGTTTTTCACAGTTACTCAAAATAAAACAGAACTGCCAGAAATTTCACTGTAATTGGAGCGAACTGCTCTTGCAGCCTGTCCAATACATCCTTATTCTCATTGGGGATACAATTGAGCATCCTTCAATAAAAACATGAATACCTACGTTATTTCGTCAATTAAAAGTAGTTTCGGAGTTGTCACCCCACCTGATTTCTGTACGAAGCTAAGTTGGCTGCGCAAATGGAGTCCAACTAACGGTATTTTCCCGCAACTTTTGAGGAAACTATCTTTCAAGGCAACGCAGTTGACCTTACTTAACTACTTAAAATCAAGTTCAAATTAAGGGCAGTAATTTAGCCAACACTAATTCTCGTCAAGGTTATTTTGCTGTTAAATAACACTAATCGCAGGTAAACAGAACAAAGATCAGACACGAGACAATCGAAGCATGAAGAACTTCATTAGGCGTCAACAGCAAATTGCTTTGTTAATTTGTCAAGTCATTTAAGGAGGAGGCGTGCCAGTGCGGGGGGCGTTTTCAGGTATCGTACACACCGGCCCATATCGGAGAGTCGCAACAAAGTTGTTGATTGTCCAAGACACCCGACAACCGGGCCGTCGTCATCATCCGCGCGGAATGACGCGGACAAAAGAAAGAGAGAGAAAAATTATGTTCATGTCTGCGGCCGTTTTGTTTTGGTTACGGACTTCGCCGTGCTGCCAATTAAAAATAGCCGCTTGCATAATTTCCTCTCTACGGGCGGAGAGGAGAGTACTCTCAGGTGCACAGAGGAATGGGTTCTGCTTAGGCGGCTGAGAGACATCAGAGGCGACCCCAAAAGAGTTAAGCCAAAGCCGAGATTTTGGGGCGGAGAGCAGACCAGACCAGACCAGATTTAATCCACTTCCTGTAGCTGATAAAATACGTCAGATGCGTGTGGAAATGGTTGGGGAAGTGGAAGTGAAAGTGCAACCGCAAATGGCAATTTGTTAGCCATGCCACAGCATCTTTTGATACTCTTCCAAGGGGGTAAAGTGCTTCAGAAACTCCTAAATTCTGGACACTGTATTCATACATCATATATCATATTGTTTTAGGGTCTTGGCAGGTCATCCGACTAACCTTTATATAGTATGTTTTCTTGTAATCTTTTTACAAAAAAGGAACTTGCAAGAGTATAAGATCTTCGGTGATTGGAAATGTTGTAGCTTTCACGCATTTTGTCATTCGTTACATAATCCCAAGCGCTTGCTCTCTTTCCGTTTTGTTGTTACAGTTGTTGGTGAGGGCGGCGTGGGCGAGAGGACAGGTGTAGCGATGACAGCGATGTCGGCTCAAAGATGATCGAGGCCTTTGCGAATCACCTGAGCAGTCATTTGGGACGTCACCTCTTCTACTGGTCGATTGATACGACGGCACCGAACAGAGCCAGCAGCGGCAGTGGCAGCGGCAGCGACGGTGGGAACTACGGCCTCAATCTGCGTCTCTCCGAGCTGATCAACAAGTTCCACGGCCCCCTCGAGAGGGGCGTGCAGGTGCTGGATCATCTGCTGACCCTCGAAGAGGACGACTTCGCCGGCCATTGGGGCAGCGCCTACGCGCACAACTATGAGCCGGAGTACGCGGTCCGAGTGCCGGAAAACGAGGAGATGCCCCCGCCCGAACACAGTGAGTATTAGGGGGCATGGAGTGGGTATCGATCCACCAAATGACTACAAATTAGTTTGCGCAAAGGTCAACAACATTATTTGTTGTAATTTTCGGCACAAACACCGCTCTCTGCCGGCTGCTGCTGCAGCCCCAGAAACTGGTTTAGATCGTGGTGGTCGACGTATGTATGTGCGTGTGTGTGGGAATGTGCTAAGAAATAAACAAACCTTCGACGGGCGACAGACACGATGGAGCGGATGGATGGCATCGGCGATGACCAACCCAAAACAAGCAGCCATGCGATCCATCGAATCGATTTCAAGTTCAACACATTTTATGGTCGTTTTAAATATGCACAGGCCAAACTAAATAATAAATAATCAACAAGACCAAATATGAGTCAAGTTTAAATCAGTTTTGAGTACATGCAAATACCCACAGAAGCAAGGCTACGAAAAAGAAAGAGATTGAGACAACGACAGCGATAAAGACTGTTGTAGAAGCTCTAAGATCATCCCTTACACGTACGCCTTGACGTTGACGCGCGTTTATGGTGGGCCATGACGGAAATACATATTAGCCGCGAGTGGCCGTGATATAATCAATGAGTTGCGAAATTGGAAGCACAGCTCATTCAAATTCAAAACATGCGCGCGCTCTCCTACATTTTGGGCTGTTAGCCAACACTGCAGCAACACAGTGTGACCAGCTCTGATAACAAGGAAAAACCTATCGTTATCGCTTCAAGAACAAATCAAACAATAAAAACAGCAGAGAAAATAAAAATAAAAGAAAAACATAAAAACAATGGCAATTGGCAGTGCACTATCCACTTAATTGAAAGCAAATGTTTGCATTTCACTCGATTCGCTAAAAGCCAGCTCAGCGCACTGCCAAAGGTCGGTTCGGGGCGCGGTGCATTTCGCCTGACCTCCAGATAATCGCGTTTTTCACATTTCCACTGCGACATGGCCAGTAGCAGCAGCAACAGCAGCAGCAACAATCACGGCAGTAATAATAGCAACAATATAATGGCCCTGAATCGGCTATCCCTAAAGTCGGCCAACAAGCGCAACCAGGAGTCAATGTCCCATTCGCAGCCGAACGGCGGCTGGATAAACGGTAAGAAAAGCGGGCAGAGGGGGGGAGCAGTGCAGGTGCGCCGTGTCTGTGAGTTATTGATTTTCCACACAAATCGCACTGCCGCCGCCGAGGAGGGGAATGGAATGGAGTCGTGTCTAAAAGTCGCGCGCGCGCCTCTGCAGACAGCGCGAATGCGTCGCTATTTTTGGACGCTCCACTTTTTCCCGGTGGCACGGCTTTCATATTCGGGGGAAATTTAGTGAGAAAAATAGAAAAAGGGGGAGCCCGATGGCAACGGCATTCGTTATTTATTATGCGAACGCGACGGTAATCAACGGAAGTCGCACTTCCGAACGCACAAATGTTACATCGCATCCAGCAGACGCTGTCGGAATTGGGTGGGACCTTGCCGCCAATATCACTTGTCACAGAATAACCTTATAACGTATTAATATCCTGCCTTCCAGTGGAGACGCTCAATAATGGCAACATTCTGCTGCACTCGCCGCCGCACAACCATCAGCAGCAGCAGCAACAACAGCAGCGGGCGGGAGCAGCCCTCTCGCCACAGGCCGGAGGCGGCGCCTCGGGCAGTGCGGCCGATCAGAATATCCAGATAACCCAACCCATAAGCGCCCCATCCTCACCCCTGGCCTCGCCCGGTGCCCTCAACATCAGCAGTGTCGGCAGCCCCACGGCCTTCTGTATGCCCTCGAGCTCGGCAGCAGCCGCTGCCATTTCGGCTGCCTCTGCCGCCGCTGCCTCAAATTCAACCCCCACTCCCACTAGCGGCAGTGGATCGTATGTTTGTTCAGCTGGCGGCACCAACTGGCACTATGCGGCTGTGGGCGCCTCCAATGCCATCGACACGGCCGATCCCAACTGGCAGGCCAGCAAGGCGACGGTGCTGGAGCGGAACGCGGCCATGTTCAACAATGAGCTGATGTCGGACATCAAGTTCATTGTGGGCGAGGAGTTCGGTAAGTTCGGCATCCGCCAGCATCACTGATCCCCCGATTAAGTCTCGGTTTTCTCTTCGGACAGATATCGATCCCGTTCAAACAATACCCGCGCACAAATACATCCTAGCCACGGGCAGCTCGGTCTTCTATGCCATGTTCTATGGCGGTTTGGCCGAGAACAAACAGGAAATCAAAGTGCCTGATGTCGAGCCCACTGCCTTCCTAACGCTGCTAAGGTAGTATCGAATCCACGAGTATTTCAGAGGCTATCTATTATCATTGAACTTCTCCTTCTGACACTGCAGGTATCTCTATTGTGATGAAATCAAACTGGAACCTGAACACATCTTGGCCACTCTGTATGCGGCCAAAAAGTACATTGTACCGCATCTGGCACGGGCGTGCGTCAACTATTTGGAAGTGAAACTGACGGCAAAAAACGCCTGCCTACTTCTCAGTCAATCGCGTCTTTTCGAGGAGCCCGAACTGATGCAGCGTTGCTGGGAAGTGATCGACGCCCAGGCCGAGATGGCGGTTAAGTCCGAGGATTTTGTGGACATTGACCTCAAGACGTTCGAGTCGATATTGTCGCGCGAGACCCTCAACTGCAAGGAGATCCATCTGTTCGAGGCAGCCCTGAACTGGGCCCTCAACGCCTGCGAGAAGATGAGCATCGACAATACGCCCCAGAACAAGCGGCGGCTGCTGGGCCAGGCTCTGCACCTGATACGCATTCCGACCATGACACTGGAGGAGTTTGCCAACGGTGTGGCCCAGACTGGCATCCTCTCATCGCAGGAGACCATCGACATGTTCTTGCATTTCACCGCCAAAATGAAACCGAATCTCGGCTTTCCGACGCGTTCGCGTGCGGGCCTCAAGACCCAGGTCTGCCATAGATTCCAGTCATGCGCCTATCGCTCGAATCAGTGGCGTTACCGCGGGCGCTGTGATTCCATTCAGTTTTCAGTAGATCGCAGGTACATTAAAACCCCACCCACCCCACACAAATTGAAATTGAATCAATATCCCTAACTGCATGTCTGATCTTTGACAGAATCTTCATTGTGGGCTTTGGTCTGTACGGCTCGTCGACGGGCGCCGCCAACTACAACGTGAAGATTGAGCTGAAGCGCCTGGGCAGGACACTGGCCGAGAACGACACGAAGTTCTTCTCGGATGGGTCCAGCAACACGTTCCACGTATTCTTCGAGAATCCCATACAGATCGAGCCGGAGTGCTACTACACCGCCTCGGTCATACTCGATGGCAACGAGCTGAGCTTCTTCGGCCAGGAGGGTATGTCCGAGGTGCTCATGGGCAATGTGACATTCCAGTTCCAGTGTTCGTCGGAGAGCACCAACGGCACTGGCGTGCAGGGCGGCCAAATACCGGAACTGATCTTCTACGGACCAACCACAGTGACGGCCTTAAACTCGCCCACCAATTCGGTGTGTGCCACGCCAATCGCAGGAGCGGGTGGAGGCACAGCAGCTGGATCAGCGACTGCCGTTGCAAATGGCAGCAGCAGCGGATCGGCATCGACAGCTGCTGGCAACAATGTAAACAGCTCCGGGGAGGAACTCGGCGGCGGTGGCGGCGCCGGCGATGGAAGCACCTGATGTGCACAGCTCTACTGCGCCGAATGGCAGGGATCCTGCTACTATCGCCAGCAGCAGCCGCACCATCAGCAGCAGCAGCAACAGAGGAGACCAACACAGCAATATAAGACACAACCACAAATACAAAATAGAAACTCATGGGTTTTCAGTGCAACACAACAAAGCAAATTGGAGTTTTAGAGGAAACGATATAGCAGATATAGACGTATATACAGTACAGTTAGTACATATAGAGTGCTCTAGTTTTCGTAATAGTCCTATATAGTCATATATACATATATACACAAACGTATATAACCATACAGTCCTATATATACATCGCTACAGTGCGTTTCAAAGCTCTTGGACAAGGAGAAATGGTTTGGATAAGCTCAAGCCAATAATTATTGGTAGACTTCCATCGGCAGAGAGTTCTAGTTCGTTAAATATTTCATAGATTCGTTTCGTTAACTGTTTCAGCCGGCCCAAGGCTCTGAAACGCACTGTACCTAGTTTGTTGGCATATATAAAGATATTTTCAAAACAAAACAAGTTGAACATATACACCCAGACCTACATATATATAGATACAGATACAGATACGAAGTAGACTCGAAAACTTATTACGTTCCACAACTTGAGAGGTTTGCAGAGGGCGAGAGGTGGGATATAAAGCGGCGCAATATATACTGACATATAAATGCAATAAGCAAGGGAAAATCGGGCAATCAGTCAAGCTAAAGTTAATCAATATTCTAAAGTTGAATGCGAAAATGAATAACAGATATTTTTTGCCAGCATATACCTAACATATACTATACATCTGATCTGATACTGATACTGATATATACACATAAAAACTATATATAAACTATAAAGATATACTTGAAGAGGAAGTGAGGAAGGAGAAGCCATGTTAAGAGTTGCATTCGACGAATTTGACAGCAAAGTTAACCAGGTTTATGAAATACGACAGAGGTCTTGTATGCGCAACATTTCTCGATATATTAATAAACATTGTAGCATGCATTTGTTCTATATCGTAGTTATTTCCCCTATATAACGCTCATACCCAACATATATGCCTTTCCACTGATATCAAGCCCCGTACTTTTCACCTATCTATCTATGTATCTATTCTATCAATCCTAGGCTGCTCTGCGCAACAATCAACAATTTTATGTTCGACTTAAAACATTTCTTTGGAAATTGTACTGATTTTTTGCTTTTGATAAGAATCCAATTACTGTTTTTTATATATATATACATTATATATATGTATATATCTTTTTGAATGAAGCAAGTGTTATCCTATATTGAATATGAATCTATTATAATTATGTACTTTAATCAATAAAATATATTATTAGATTTTTTCGAATTTATACTGAAAGTGTGCTTTCAATTTGGATTGAGATGAAGATTACATATACGTATGTACTATATAGAATCCATTAGAATTATTGGGTATTAACGTTTTGAGCCATTCGCTGGTGCGAGGGAATCGAGAATCGATTTGCTGTGTATTGTTTTTGCTTTCTTGGGACTGACACTTGGCAGTTGGATTATGGGAACCGACTCAGCCCAAATCAATGACGAACAGACGACGCCAAGTAGGCAAAGCAGAGGTGTAGAGAGAATTGATAACCCGTGCACGCTTCTCCATATAACATCTTTCTGGTGCGTCATGCAACATGTTAGTAACCGACCGGTGTCTACAATCATAGTATGATCTACAATCGGACAAAATATACAATAATTCCTCGATCATAGCACGATCTAACAGCGGATTTGCTGTGGTAGCTCCACCATGATATTAGCTAAAATCCACATTAATTTTCCTTTTTAAATCCTTAGTTTCTGCATTTGTGAATATCTGATCGTTAAAATCGTGGATTTTCAAATTTCATTGGTATGGAAATACCATTGATTGGATATCATTTCAGAACTCAACTTAAACTAGTTATTCAAATTAAAGTTGGTCAGTTTCACTCACCCACAGACGGTATATTGATGCACAAAGCGTGTGACAATTTCAGATATGTGCGTCCCAGCTCATACGAGCAAATCTGCTGAACATCGCTTATGTCGATGAGGAGATCTACAAATGAAATTAAATCCAATTGAACCACTCCGTCTGGCGAGCTTCATGGGGAAACGGGTGACTTACGAGAGGTGCCCTCCGTGCGGCATGTCATGTACACACAAGCAGCGTAGATGTGGGTGCTTTTACGACCACGGGTCAGGTGACGACTGAGGGCCATCTTGAAGAAGTTGAGTGCCGTATCGGCATAGTGCTGAGACAGCTGCAGCTGCTGGCAGAGAAGAGTGATATCCTTCTTGGCCTTTTTGATGGTCACCTCGCGGGATTCCGTGCCCGAGCCCACTTGGAACTTGCCGTAGCCGTAGTTTGTGGCCCCACCCGATGATTCGGCTGAGACAAACTGTCCAATGGCTGCGGCGCCATGACCCACCTCCTCGAACTGCACCTCCGAGACAATGAGCGAATCCTCCAGCACAGAACCACAGTTCGTGCAAACTACAAAGGAAAATGACAGATGACACATGAAAAATGGAGTCACTATTGAAATTCCAGAGCCTACCCCGATCTCCTCGAGTATTGTCCTCCTCGATCTCATTGGATCCGCAATTGCGACACTTTAATCCCGTCGACATCTTGTTTGAACAGAGTCTTCCAGCTGTGGTCAAATCTTAAGAGCTGTGCTAGTCTAGGCTCTTCGGTAGGCAGCGGGAATCCAAGAAAGCAGCTCAAGCAACTATGTTTCTCTTCGGTATGGATGCATTTTCTTTTATTTTTGATTAAAAACAATTGTTAGTTTATTGTCAATGCACGCTAGCAGCCAGCTGACCACAACAAGCAGCGATTTACAGCACTGCCGATTGAGTGATTTGCAGCACTGAAGCAGAGGAAACTGTGGAAGGTGGCGCAACAAAAATATCCGAAAGGTGTTAGTAAAAATCGGCTTGTTTTAAAGAAAAATTAATTTTATATGACAAAACTAACCTCATATTGCACATAAAAAGTACGTCTTTTTGGATTTATTCAATTGAAAAATTGTATTCCGGGTATTCCATCAAAAACATCCGCGTGACGTCACACAGCCTCACATGTTTTCGTCACCCGATCACAATCACACTTTGTTCGAGTAAAAACCAAGAAATAAACAAGTTAAGGCGGCATCGAATTGCGCTTCATTTACATAGCTAAAGTATAATATAATTCTAATACACAAGAGCTTCCGTAATGGGTGATGCAGACCGAGCAATGAATACAAATAGTGAACCCGTTAAGCCACCGGTTGGCCTCCAGGTGATTGCGCCCGAGGATTTGGCGTCCATCGAGGAGACAATCACAATTGATCCAGAGTGCTTCGAATTGGATCTGAATCATCGCCGCATTGAAAAGCTGGAAAATTTCGAGCCCCTGACTCAGATACAGCGCTTGTTTCTCCGCTGGAATCTAATCAAGAAAATCGAGAACTTGTCGATGCTGAAGACCCTCGTGGAGCTGGAACTCTACGACAATCAGATAACCAAAGTGGAGAACCTCGAAGAACTAACCAAGCTCGAGATGCTGGACCTCAGCTTCAACCGGCTGACCAAAATCGAGAATCTGGACGCTCTGGTCAATCTGGAGAAGCTTTACTTCGTGGCCAACCGGATCACGGTCATTGAGAATCTCGGCATGCTGACCAGCCTCACCATGCTGGAGCTGGGCGACAACAAGCTCAAGAAAATTCAAAATATAGATACACTAGTCAATCTGCGACAGTTGTTTCTGGGCAAGAACAAAATCGCCAAGATCGAGAACCTGGACACGCTGGTCAATCTGGAGATCCTGAGCCTGCAGGCCAATCGTATCGTTAAGATTGAGAACTTGGAGAAGTTGACCAGCCTGAAGGAGCTGTACATATCCGAAAACGGCATTGAAGTAATCGAGAATCTGGAAGAAAACAAAAATCTGGAAACACTAGATCTTGCCAAGAACAGATTGAAGGCCGTTGGTAACCTGGAGACCTTGGAGAACCTGGAAGAGCTCTGGTTGAATCACAATGGCATCGATGACTGGAAGAATATCGAGCTACTCAAGGGAAACAAGGCTCTTCAGACGATCTACTTGGAGAGCAATCCGCTGGCCAAAGACGTTCGCTATCGTTCCAAGTTGCGCGACATTCTGCCACAGCTGCAGAAGATCGATGCTACCATGTGCGTGATGCCGGGCCAATAGGCTCCAAAATATATTTATGTAACCGTTTCAAAGACTCATCCCCCCATCCAAAATGTTATATCAATTAACCATCAAACCTGGCGTTTAAAAATATACAAAATTACATACACATACATTTACAAGAATTTAATGTTAATTTTCCACATTTGAAAATTTCCCCTGATTCGGTGGGGCCTTAACTGATAACAGACAGCACCTTTGAATTATTTTCTTTGTGCAGTCAGAAAAAAAAAAAAACAATATGCTTATCATGACATTTGTTGGTGGAATGCTCAACTGAACAAAGAAGTGAGGCATCAAGCTGCTTCCTTAGCGTATCGTCAGGTGGTGGTGGGTCATCACACTTGAACGGCGTAATAGTCGGAGGCGGTGACCTGATGCGGGCCCCCATAGAAGTCCAGCACAAAGATATTGCGGATGATCAGCTCGCACAGATAGAAGTTGTGGGCTACAATCGGCGAACGGAGGTAAGTTAGATAAGCAAATCGAATTTATTCTGAAATTCTAATCAATCCACACACCTTTTATCCAGTTGTTGGCGGACGGATGCCGTTTTATATATGCGTCCAGCGCTGGCTTGTAGCTGCGATCACTCTTATCGAACTACAGATGGAATACGTTTCTTATCTAGATACATTATCTGGATGCACGCATACTCACCTTCTGGACTTGACCGCTGATCATTGAGCGGGCACAAGTGGGCTCCATGGGATCCTTGCCGTGATTCTTGCAGTTCAGTGTCTGCTCTTCAGTGAACATCAGTGTCACCTTGTTGTTCTTCTCCCAGTCGGGACCTGTAAAGTCCAGATCGGTAAGCAGGAAGCGTATCTTTCCCGTGGAGTTGCCATTGGCGTCACTGTCATCGATCGATACGATATTGACCATGGGATAGTCCTCCACGATCTTGTTGGTGGAAATGCTGCCCACCGCCGCCCAGTTAGCGCGGTGCACCAATTGCCGGGCGATCTTCGCATGGTTGAGTTCCATTTCACGCTTGTACTCCGCTATAATTCTGGCATCCTCGCTGGCGGAATATCCTTGGGTTTGGCTGAGGGCCAGGCAGGCAAATGCCAAGGCCAACAGCAGAGCGGGGCAGGTGTTCATTGTGGCTAAAGATTGGCGGCGATCTGTAAGTAAAACGGTTCACTTTCAAACGCCCACTGTGCGGGATTCAGGAAATATGCAACGCATTTATACGATCATCTGTGGGCAGCCTTCATCTTTGTAATGCATGTTTTACAACTTTCTCAGTGCGTGATTCCGTGCGTGATTCACTCGATTCATAAAGAACAAAGCGACCGTTCGCTCATCCGCAATTCCCATACGCATTGACCTTTGGCGCCTTTTTACTTTCGATTCCCTACGTACCACTTTGCACGTAGCTTCTACATATGTATGCTTGTATATCGCCTACCTTTTCGATCTAAAAAATGTTTGTCTCTCCTTTCGGTGGACTGCTGCTGTTGGGATTTGTTTGCAAAATGACTTGCCCTGCCTGCTACTACGTCTTTGTTATCATCACCTGCCCGCCCGAGGTACAAAGACAGCCCACAAAACAGCTGCTTTGAGCTGCTACCTAAGCCTCTGGAAAGGGTATATCTGTCTCACACCAGACGTCGCTGATTTACTGTACAGGTAAATGGTTACCAGCCGGCTTTGCACAAAGCTATGATCGCATGATGCATTATTTTCTATTTCTGCTTCATAAAACTATGAAAAGTTATCTGCGAATATATGCATAGAGCTCATTGGGGGTATCAGGTGGTCGGTACCAGAGGCAGCGGCGATCGACAGGTTGTACGCACGCAGCATTGCCAGGCCAAAATTAGCTGACTGCTACGGAAAGCAGGCCAAACCGGAACAAACTGTTATTTTGAACGCATTGGCTAACAGCTGGGTTTCTTTTATTTTTGCAAATTTTTACTCCATAAATGTATTTGATGTTAGAAATATATCATAATATTTAAAGTTGTACATTTCGTTTTCCATTAACTTGACTTGGTTTAACATTTATTGTGGCAAATTGTGATGTTTTGTCCCTTGATTGATAACAAAAAGAAAAGTACAGACAAACGTTTGGTATTCCATTCTATGCAAAAGTACTTCTGTAATTATTACAGGGTGCGAATATTGTTTAACATTTATTTGTATTTTGTATTTGTATTTGAATTACTGTTACTGTTACATTTACGTTTTCATTTTTGTACCGTTGGAAATATACGCTTTTGTTTGGTTATTACTCGTATTTGTTGTAATTAAATTACGTTTGCCAGTTTAGTTTACCCTGCCGCATACAGTTTGTTTGAAAAATATATGTAAATACTATGCCTATCTTATCCCATTGAATACTGAGATAAATACATACGAGTATGTGTAGATTTCAAGTGTTACGCTTTCGCCTTCACTTGTCTTTGTCCTTGTCTTTGTTTTTTTGTTTCCTTCTTTTGTTTTGTTTTGATTTGTTTTTTTTTTTTTCAAAAATAGATGTGTAAAAGTACATAGATCATATGATGCGTGTATGTATGCATGTATGTATATGTGTAAATATGTTTGTTTGGATGTACAATAGTTAAAGTTAGTTTCGTTGATGGATTGGTTTTACATTTTGTTAAAAGTTTATTGGAGCGTAGCTCAAAAATGTCTTCTTATCTTCTTCTTTCATTGTGTGTGTTTCAGGACATGTAGCTTAAGTCTTACAAAATTATAAATCATCGAGTTTTGTTGGCTTTGAGCGGTTTCAAATGTATGTTGCACCAGTATGAAATGGCAAATCGGCAGATTTCTATGCATCTTTCCCTCAAAGTTGATCAAAAACAGTATTTGGTCAAGAGGCCTCACAAGCAAGTGTGTCATAAGAGGATATATTGTACATCCACAAATCCACAATCAGACCTGCTTATCGGCTTTCTCCTGCCATAAGAGGACTTTCTTAGTTTGTATGTATTTTGTGCTTTGTCTGCCGTACAGATATCGTTGAATCTATTTGGAAATTCAATTTGCACGAGACAAAAATGAGGTGGTTGTATACCACATCCCCATACTTGGATTTTCGGGAGTGTATTGCAAATTCGAAGCAAGGGAATGCTATTTCTGTCTCGTGCAAAGTACAAAATTACTCTCGCCCAGTGTTTTGGTTATGATAAATAAATGCATTGATGCATTTATAGTACTCAAACCTATACTGAAAGGTTGTACAGATATTCAACATTTTTGTTTTGTTTGTTTTTTTTTTGCTAGTTTAACACCTTTTAAACACGTATAGGTTTAGTATTAAGTTGTCTGATTAATTTACGTTTAGACTAACATACAAAAAGCTGCGTGGGCTGGCCCAACAGCAAGTCTGCTCGGTCTATATAGTGGATATATCTGTGTGGGTTGATAGCCGAGAACTTGCGTGCTGGCGCCACATATTAAAATAGTTACATACATACATATATGGTTTATTTAAACCTAACCACAAGCATACATACATATACAGTTCAATTAAAGAATATTATAGAGGATATACATATATATGGGTACTAAATACTTCTCCACTCTTTTCCCCCTTGGGAGGGGGGGCGCTCAAACGAAGCATTTGCATTTGTTTCTTCGCATGATGTGTGTATTATTAATCACAAACAGTACATACGAGTAGTATACTCAAAATACAAGTTGCAGTTCATAGAAATTTTCGGCTACGATTTACATCTATAAACATTAATAATTTCTTATTAATTTTTTAATTTTTAATTTCATTTTGTTTTTGTTTCTTCAACTTTCAAACAATTCCTTGGCGCTTGCGTATTCTGTGTAGTTTTTTTTTTGTTTTTTTTTTAACATTAGATTTTGCTTTTCTAAGACCAAAGTTCGAACAAAAGGTTTTAAAGCTTTCAATTCACTTTCGATTCGTTTCGTTTCATTATTTCTTTTAGTGTATTTTTTTTGACTAGCTTGGAAGCATGAGTTAAACTAGAACCTAAAAATGTGTGTGGTGTGGTGTGGGTCCAAGCAGCTTGGGAACTGTGATCTAGGATGGGTTTAACATAAGGTAAAAGCAAATCGGGGCAGTATTTCAATACGCGGGACATTGGTATAACACGTTAAAGCTATCATTTTGTCGACCAACGCACTCCAGTAGGTTTTACTCGGGATGCTTGGGTCGGAGGAGAACGTGAACCTGGACGAGGACAGGGACGGGGATAGGACTCGCTCATCAATCGCACCATTAACGCCGGTCGTTGCCGCCGCCAGCTTCCGGCTTAGGATCACCGGGCGCCTTTTGCACCGCCTGCAGCTCGTACTGATAATAACAGTCGCTGCCCACGTAGACGGTGCGCCAGACGCCGTCCACATCTCACATTTGCCGGTAGGGCGAGTGCATCTTGAGCCACTGCAGCACCAAGGACGGACCACCGGCCTGGATTTCGGGCGGAATGGTGCTCAGCGGGCACTTGTCAATATTCAAATACTTGAGGTTTTGACAGAGGGCCAGCTCGAACGGCAGCTTCTCCAGACCGGGATTCTGGTTGATATATAGGTTCTCCAGGCCCTCCAACGACCCAATCTCCTCGGGCAAAAACTGCAGGTTGTTCTCGCTGACGGACAAATGGGTCAGGTTGCTCAAGTGCCCAATGCTGCGCGGTAGCATTGTGATCTGGTTGGTCTGCAGTATCAGGCGCTGCAGTTCGTGCAGCAGCCCAATCTCGTGCGGCAGAACCTCAATGCGGTTCTCCTCCAGGTCGAGGATGCGCAGCTTGCGCATATTTCCAATCGTGTTGGGGATCTTCTTGAGCATGTTGTTCGACAGGATGAGTATCTCCAGATTCTGTAGGTTCATGATGTCGTCGGGCAGCTTCTGCAGCGCATTGGTGGCCAGATTCAGCTCCACCATGTTCACCCACGTACCAATGTCCAGCGGCAGGGCCGTCAGCATGTTCTCCTTCATGTTCAGCTTGGTCAGGCCCTTGGCTCTCGAGAATATCCCGTACGGTATCTTGTCGATGCGGTTGTGCTCCAGATTGATGCTGTACACGTTCGTGAACTGCGCCGGTCCGCCGGTGGGGTAGCTGGTGAACTGATTCCGCGACAGGGTGATGGTAGTGAGGCCGCTCAGGCTCGCGAGCATGCCGTCTGGCAGCTGTGTCATCCCATTGCCCTCCACATTGAACTCGTCCATGCTCTTGCAGTTCTTCAGCGTGGCCGGTACGCTGCTCAGTCGATTGTAGCGCAGACCCAGCCGCACCAGGGACTTTAGGTTGCCGATGCTGTCGGGTATGTCCAGCAGCTCGTTGTGCTGCAGATCCAGGGCACTCAGGTTCACGCAGTTCCCAATGTCCTCCGGCAGGTGCTCCAAGTGATTGTGCGATACATCGAGCGTGGTCAGATTCACCAACGCCCCGATGGCACTGCCCAGCTCCCTGATCTTGTTCTCGCGCAGACTGAGCATCGTCAGATTGACCAGCTGGCGCAGATTGTCCGCCACGGCGGTGATGCGATTGAAGCGCAGATACAGCGTGGTGAGGGTACGCAGTCGATAGATGACGGGCGGAATCTCCGCCAGCTTGTTGTGCCGCAGATCTAGCACTTTCAGCTGCTTGCAGTTCTGCAGCGACTCGGGCAGCGAGGTCAACGAATTCTCGTTCAGCGCCAGATTCCGCAGGTTCACCAGGCACCCAATCTCGGCGGGCAGCTGGCCAATCTTGTTGCTGTATAAATACAGCTCGGTGAGGTGCACACACTCCTTGACCGTGCTGGGTATCACCGTGATTGAGGATTTGCTCAGGTCCAGTCGCTTGATGCCTGCAGGGAAATCAGGGAGCAATGATTGAGTCTTGAGTTCATTTTTGGGTGGAAGATGTGAAAGACTTACCCTCGTCCCGGCATCGTTGCAGCGCCTTGATCACGTCCTGGTCCGCCTGGATGGGCTTGCTTTTCTTGGTGGTGGGCTTGGGTTTGTTGGATTCCGGATGCTTGACCGTCACCATTTTGGGACGCGTCTCGGGCGGCATAGTTGCGTTATTTTCGTTGTGTTGCTGGCTGTGTCCGTTGCTGCTGCCCCCGCCGCCGCCGCCGTTGGCTGTGCTGTGACTGTGGCTGGTGTGGAAAACTTCCTCCGGGCCGCCACCACCTCCGTTGCTACCAAAACAGTGAATGGCCTCTGAGGGTCCGTCGTTGCTGCTATTGCCGCCGCCGCCGCCGCTACCTCCTCCTCCTCCTGCTCCTTCTCCCCCTCCTTCAGACGTGCCGCCGTTCCTCTGACCCGTGGATGATAACGATGTGGTCGATGCCGTAGCGCCCGAGGAACACAAGTTCATAATTTTGCCCAGTTTTGCGGTCGGCGGCGACAAAGCGTTGCCCAGAAGTGTGCCAAAGCAACAGCAGCAGCAGCCGCAGCCAGAGGGATTCGTTGCGCTACCCTGTAGCACGGACAGAGAGAGAGAGAGAGTGAGAGTCAGTAAATGGTAAATGGTGGAAAAGTTGATTACTCGTTTATTGCTGCACTTTATCAATTGTGCGTCAGACGATGCACGGAGCCCCAATCGGGACGTGCGTCATCCCCGCACCACCATCGCCCCTCCCCTCTCCTAACCAGGTCTTTATTACTTTTGCTTCTGCCTCTGCCTGTGTCCGGCGTCCGGCAGCCAGCGTAGCGCCTTATTAACATTAACAAGTTGACCATAAACCATAAACTTTTCAGAAACTCTACATACACGCAAATCAATAATTAAACATTCCAACAGTGACGTCGAAGTAAAACTGAGTAGATATTCCAACTATTGGATACCCTATACATCTATCCCTTATATACATATACTGTGGGCACACACACAAAACCATACAAGTCCCATATCTTTAACGTTGTGCCAGAACTTTGCCGCGATAACGGAACGGAAGAAGCAACAAACGCGAAATTCCCGGAGATTAATAAAGAATAAATATCGTATGGTCTTTTTTGCAGAAATCTTATAAATTTCAAAACGATTTTGAATGTATTACCGAGTGTAAAACGTTTCCTATTTAATTCGGAAACAGGGCAATCGAATTAACTTTCAAATGCAGATAGAAATTACAGAAATCGTAATAAACCTTTGAGGATTTGAAGGACCTGAAACACCCTTTACCAGTATCGGGTACGTCCAACAGGCGACTTCTACCTAGGAATGTATTACCCCAAAGCATTTCCAGCCATTTCCACTCCCACTCCCATATACATATGTATGTATGCAGGTCTTATAAAACTTTCGAGAGCAGAGCTGTCAATAGCAGCAGCAGGATATGTATATGGGGGAGGAGGCAATGGCATCGCATGGCATTGGGTTGCACGCCCACACCACAGCCGAATACCCCAACACCCACTCGCACGACAAATGGAATGCTCCTGGTGTATTTTTGTGGTAAATGTCAAGGTCAGTTCAGTGTGTGGCAGGCAGGGCAGTCAGACGATGATTCCTGGAAAGAGCCAATGCCAGTGTCAGGGCCAGTGTCACCACAGCAGTCAAAGGTTGAAAGTGCACGCATACATTATCATTACCGTTATGCGGTGGCCAAGAAACATGAAACAAGAGACCACAACTTGAACCCTCCCCCCCCCCCGTACACCACACAGACAAGTCTCATGGAAACTTGAGCTTAATTATTATGCACAGAAACAGAATTTAAGACACCCTAATCAAATTTCGCAGCATTGTGCACATCCGAACCAATTGAACGGCCGCTCCCTTGCTCAAGTGGAAGACGCCGCCGCGGGGCATCAGAATATCTGGACAAATGCAGTGGAAGTACGGGAGCTTACGATAAAGCCACCCAGAATGATGGATGGATGGGATGGGGGGTACGCGCGCTGGATGTCAGTCTCTGATTCATGGTAAATTTCCATTTCTTTGATTATTTTTATAGCCGCATTGTACTTGACGCATTGTTGTAGTTTTATTTGTTTTTGCTTTTGTTGTTGCTGTTGTCAGTGTGCCTCATAAATTGTTGCTCTTTTGTAGGCAAACACACAAATTGCGGCACACAAATGCATACACCAACGCACGCACACTCGTATAAATTTAAACAAATCACATCGATCCATCATTTAAAGTACTAACTTCACTTAATAAGCCATCAGTGGAAACTCAATGTTGATCTCTTAATATTCCGGACTCTGCGCATTTTCCTCACACAAGATTTGTTATTATTTAATTTTTTGCACACATTTTTTGCTTGTTGTGACCGCGGACTATCGATATCGACCCTCAGAAATATACCAAAATATACCGTCTCTTTCTAAAATATACCGTAAATATACTGACTGATTCAAGTTCTTTTTACATATTCCTCAATTTTGATCTTCCGTGGAATATTACTATATATACAGCACATTTAGCCATGCCCACATAATTTTACACGATTAATGCATCAATTTTCTACACAATTGGCTAGTTTTTAATCCTTGCTTTTATTGGATTTTACGTAAAAAAAGGTTTAAACGAAAAAGTTCAACAAAAAAAGAGTCGCAATGTTGCTGGTATTTGAAGACGTGATGCGTGTATAGCTTTTGTACACCCTATTTCGCTAATTTTATATGAAGATCAAACGTAATTTATTAAGACCTTTTGTCAAATTGATATTCTTTAGGCATATTCAAGTACATTGTTAGTATCTTGTATATATTTATGGCGATCCTGATACCTACTGAGCCTTGGAAGACAAACGTATTCACAATTCTATAACATCCATTTCCCCCAGGGTATGTGTGCATGGAATGGGACTCATTGTTCTGAACCGGTTATGACGACTAATTCTTGGTTAATCTTTCTTCCGTCGAATATTCCTAGCTATATAGGTCTCTCAGTTTTGCCCAGATAATTTTATATAATTGCTTAATCAATTTTTATCAGGATTAACTACTTTTAAATACTTGCATGTTTTTTGTTTTGACAAAAACACGATTTCAACAAAAGTGTTCAATAGTCGCAGGTTGTGACGTCAATGTTGCTGGTATTTGCAGACTCATTTCTTGTCAACCAGGGTATGGGAGTTTGTATACCCTATTTCGTGAATATAATATAAAGATACTGTTTTCCAAGCTGCTTTAAAATGTAATTAATAAAGGCCTTGGTTTAGATTGCATTTTTTTGGTCTATTCATGCATTTGATTAGGTTCTTGTATATAAATACTGATCCCTATACCAATTCTTGGTCTCTGTAAGAAGACCACTAATTGCAAAATATCGTTTAAAATAGATACTGACTAGTTTCTGCATTAATTAGAGCATGGGATGAAACACATTTCCGCAATTCTATATCATCCATTTCCCGCAGGGTATGAGTGCATGGAATTAGCAACATGTTTGTGTATGGAATGGAACTCATTGTTGCTAAAGCGAAATTGCGGCGAATCGGGTATTGCCAAGCTATATAGATTTGCCACTTAGCTTTATCGCATAGATAAATACATTTTTTACATTTATTTATATACATTTATATAAATACATACATTTTACAAGATTGCTTCTTTAAATTGCTTGTAAGTATTTTATTTTGACCAAAAAACGGTTTTCAAGTAAAGGTTGCCGCAACATTGTGTATGGAATGGGACTCATTGTTGTTAAAGCGAACTGCGGCGAATTAAAATTCGATTAAAAAAACGACCAATTCTTTGTTCCGTTGAATAATACTATCTATATGGTACATTTAGCCATGCCCACTCAATTTGGTACGATTGATGAATCAATTCTATACATGATTGGCCTATTCGAAATACTTGCATTTATTGGATTTCTATATAACATTGAAAATTAAATTAATAGATTGATGAAATTGATATAAATACCATGGGAGCGCGGCGAAAACCAGTTTTTACAGTATGACCCTCAGAACAGCACCGAAATATACGGTCTCATTTTCAAAATATACCGAGTGGTGCGCGCCAAATATAACTTTTTTGAATGTGAGCGACAAGGATTTAAATGTTGTCAACCAGGCCATTACCGATTCAACATATACGACGATTCCCTCAATTTTGATCTTCGACTAACCATACAGTATAACCATACTGTATGGTTAACTAATAATATTCAGCGGAACATCAAAATTGAGCCACTAACCATACAGTATGGTTATAGATAGAACCCTCATCCATGCCCACATAATTTTAACCGATTGATGAATAAGTTTTCTACAAGATTAAATACATTTAAGTTCACCCTTTTGACTAAAATAAGGTTTAAACAAAATAGGTCGGAGCATAAAACGTAAGTGTGCACGGAATGAGACGTAAGTGGGTGCGAAATGCTACGTCAATGTTGCGGGGCAACGTCAATGTTCGACGGAATATCAAAATCGAGGAATATGAATAATTCGTCGGTATATTTTGAAAATGAGAACGGATATTAACGAAATAGGGTATACAAAGGCCTACACTACGGCTTACAAGCAGAATGTCTTCAAAAACCAGCAACAATGCGACTGTTTTTTTGTTGCATTTTTTTTTAGTCAAAAAACAATTAAGGCAAGGACTAAAAACTAGCCAATCTTGTAGAAAATGTATTCATTAATTAGCATCAGCATTATTATGGAAAGACCGACCAGATCGCGTGTGCCGTGGGGAATGTGCCCTACTCCTCTTCTGCCAGTATCGGCCTCGCGACTATGTCCATCGACTGTGAGCTGGCCAACGACAAGCGGACCTGCGTGGTGCCTGCCGCCTTCCTGCTGTTCTCTCGCCAGGAGCACATTGGCCGCATCTCGACCGAGTACAGCGAGGGAAACGGAACCACGACGACGAGCGATACCTTTCAAGGTGGCGGAGCGGCGCATCTACTCGATCATTGCGGGAGCCCCACCCACTACCAGCCAAGGCCAAGGACGTGCCCTGCATCCCCCCCCAGCTACGACAGACTACGACAGAATATCCGTGCCGCGGTGAAGCTCTCTCTCCTATTTGGCTCTGTTCTAAAACATGTTCTCTTTTAGTTTCCTCGGTGAACTCGCAGAAGCCCCGCAACATTGCCGTGCATGCCATGAAGGCGAGGCGTCTGCTCTTCTCGACAGATGACGGCAGCCATCAGGCCATCATTCGGGCTGGCCTACAAGCTACTATGATCTACTACAAGTAAGCAACCAATATGGGGACCCTCTGGACACATGTGTAATCCCCTGCTCCCTCTCTACAGGAAACTACAACAGAAAAATGTTAATGGCGCCTGATCATATACATGCATTAATCGAAGTAAACTTATTTAAATTAATTATATTTTGTTTTCCCTTTCAAACAACAACAGCTATGCCGTCAAATGTATGCTACACAAAATGAGACTGCATACACACAAAATACACGCACACACACACACAGAGGCAAATGCATACTAATACTGAGACACCCCCCACACACATACACCTACATCAACACGGGATTGTTATACATAATTTATGATGCGCAATTTGCCAACATTGCAATGCAGAAAAGGAAACGAAAAGGAAAGGGGTTTTCCGCTCGAAAAGCAACAAATGACAGACAACGGAGAGTAACAAATACCAACCTGCAAGTAAATCGCCACGCGAGAAAAAGTTTTCAGCGCGTCCTTGCGAGCCCCGTTCACTGGAATTCACTTTTTTCCTGCGCCTTTTCCTGCCCGAACACACTTTCGCTTGACCCTCGTTCTCCTCCTCTGGCTGCGGGACTTCTGTGTCTGCTGCGACCGTTTTTTGTTTCTTTTTTTCCACACTTGATTTTCACACTTTATTTTACGAAGAGGACGTTGTTTTATGGCTTAATGTGGAGACGGGAATGAACGGGATGAGCGGGATGTAAAACAGTTTAACTTAATCCGGAGAAAGTGACTTAAAGCTTTGCAGAAAAAACTAAATAAAAACTGGCGATTTTCCTTCTCGGAGATGATGTGACGCGCTTTCAGAGTTGAGGTTCGCCAGAGAGTTGCAAAGGATATATACATATATCATTCTTCTCGAACTTTATACAAATACAAAACATCCAAAATGCAGTCCACACACGTTCCACACACACGTCTGCGCACTGCGCAGTCTTCAGGGGTGACAATTACATGTAAAAGTCATGTAGAACTGACAACGACAGTAGAATTGACATAGCCGCCATTAGCTCGTGAAATTTTTGAATTTATAAATCCGATACTCAAAGATATTAGTTTTATGGTGGATGTGGAAGAAAGACTTCTTGTTTTAAATATTTTCACATTATTTTTTATATTTTTTGATTACTTTTTGGCTTTTGGCCGTCAACAAGAATTTTTCTGTCGGATACAAGCCAAAACAATGCTCTTGTCAATTGGCGCGAATAAATTTGAATGAATTACAGACTCTAGTGTCCATCTATTAATAAGTGCTGCATCTAGAACAACTGGAAAATTCATGTTTTTCAGAAGTTTTTCAAGAATTGTGGAAAAGAAACCACTAAAGATGGAGTGTATGAATGCACATACAAATGTGCTCCAACACAACTGTTCACCGAAGAGATTTTGAAAGCCATAAAATCATCGAATTAATGTTTCATCCACCCCGTAGCCATCTTTTAAAACTCTTGACTGCTTACCAATATTAGGTCGGGGGACCAACAATATTGTTGTGAATGTTATATTTTGAGAGGATCCTGAAACTAATCGTTAAAAAATACATACATACATATAACCTAATAATATTTTAATTATTACATTAACAATTTGTATAACATTTCAGAAACTTATTTCTCGAGCACGTTGCCCAGCAGAGTATTTAGCTCATCGTGGGTTATGATCTCGCAGGCCCGTTCCGATAAGATGCGGTAGTCTGGAGTGTAGGATTCAGTTGAATATTGAATGGGAATCTCAGGATCATTGGATCACGATCTTCTTACCCTTCTGGTACTTGCAGTTGTACATCCTCATGACACATTGGCTGGCGAAGGTGCGCAGGCATCCGTCTAGGGCGTTCAGAGCGCAGACGACACGGTACTTCATGGGGCAAACATCGTGGCACTTTTTCTGACCTGCACATAGAATGTGGAATATGGTGTAAATTTCCTTCTTAATTTTGCATTAGTTTCGATTTTTGACGCACCTGTCAAGGCAACCAGTGGGCCCACGCCGATCCCGGCCAGAAATGCACAAATGACGAGAATTTTGTTGCCAAAGGCAATTTTTGGCATTTTAACTGTAGACCTTTTACTCTGTCTGTAATTTTGGTAATGTGAAGGTCGAGTCGAAACAGTTTCTGTACTGCCAGAAAATGGTTTTATATATTTCATCTGTCAATTGTGTCAATATTTGTACAATTTTATAAAAATATTCATATCTGTTATTGCGCTCAGCCGTCGGTGCCCTTATGCTGCTGACCTTCTCCTGCTACCAGCTGGTATTTCCCCCTAGCGACCACATGCATCCGAGTCTCTCGTGCACCGACCTGTCGACGTCTTCCTCCAAACTGATGAAATAATATGGAAATTTCAATTGGAATGCTCTCGACACGCACTCACCTTCTCGCTTCTCACAGCCATGCCTATCCATGGCGCAAGGATTCCTGAAGGTGCACTCGATTTCAGTCCCATTTCGCACCGTCCTACCGCAGAGGTACTCGATGCGTCTGTTGCACGGCAGGTTGCATTCCTGGGCCATCACCAAAGCCATCAGGGCTAATATCAGTGCCAATATCATGATCAGCTTCATCGTGGGGTAGAGGCTCTCCAACTGCCACGCGCAGTGCACGAACTAAAGATTTTTATATGACCAGATTTGGGACATTCAATGAACTCGTTTCGAAAACCGCATTGTCAATCTCGGACAATGATCTCGCTTTGTTGTTGTTATTCCACATGCATGTGTCCATAATGTTTACAATATCAGTTCATTGATAAGAAAATTATGGGCATATATGGGGCATAGTATAATGCATTGCATTATTGCATTGGGAACATTTTCGGATATGCTATCGGATGACAAAAACATAAAACATCTACCGTTCAGAAATAATCCCTCAGTTCAGTAACTGGAACAGGTAGCAGAGATGGTCTCATCTTGTCCTCGACCATAGATGGGGATGTAGTGTTGAAGCTGTCATCTTAGAAAAGCGTCTTGATGCGCGACATCAAATCTGTTACATATTCAGCGTCCGATGGGTCGCACAGCAACTATGTAAGTTCCCATTTGCCTACTTTTGGGGCACACTATAATGTCGCTTGTGGAATAAGTAATAATTCTGCTCGCAGAATATTTTGTTTTTAAGGGAGTTCTAGGCACACCCACCATATAGCGGTTTCACTCATATCTTTTTAATTTTGGTTTTATCTTTATTATTTATACTCAAGCCCACCAAGAGTCCCACACAAAAATAACAATTTCCGATAAGGCGAAAAGCACCCCGTAAAAAAATCGGACAGGACTGAAATTCTTTTTAATAATCGACAGGATCCTGCTTTTTCATCAGCAGTACGATTCGTAAAATATCTTCTCAAGATAAGAAAACTAGAAAATACGAAGCTAGAAATTAACGAAATTATGTCTGTAGATTGGATAGAGAAGAAAAGAATTGAAAATTCCAGGTTCCTCCTACAACTGCAAATACGTACAGATGTGCAGAATGGAATAAGTTAAATCATTCATATTTATATATAGAAATGTATTTCTTGTGATACATTGAACAGTTCGAAGTTTCTTTGTCGACATTTTACATGAATTTGCAATGATTTGATTCCATTTTATTATTTAGGGACAGGCTCCAATGGTTGGTTCTTCTACATATGCTGTAAGTGTACAAAATATTATTTAAAATAAAATGGGTCAGGCTAAATATATAGAAATGCATTAACAAAATAAATCAAATCTAGCGGGTAGAATTACTATTGAAAACTGTTATAACTTTCGACACCAATGCACTCTAAGTATTCAGGGAAATCTAAGACCAACTCCAAGAAAAAAAGGAGTGCAACGTCTAAGGTGCCTGTAAGTTAAAAAAAAAATGTATCGACTGAAAAAAATCGATTGATGTGTCGACCAAAGCTATTGAGACGATCCCCGCCAACATCTGGAATCTGATGTTATTCCGCTTCATCGCTACAGGCCACCAGAGAACCAATAGATCACGAAGAAGAAGTCGCAGAAACCCACATCAGCGGGTCAGCAAAGAAGCGGAATAGCAGCGATTCCAGATCTTGTAGAGTTTTAAAAATAATGAATATTCAAAACTTCTTTCTGCATATCATTTTTATACCCTGCATTTTGAACGATCTCCAATTTGAAAACATATCACAATTAGGATTTGTCGTTAACATTTCGGCATACGTACCCACAGCATTCTCGCAGGCATATTGATTCAGCATACAACGATTTCCGAAGGACAAATACCTTTCCCTGTTGACTCCGTCGCTGTCGATGTAGGGGAACCTGCCACAGACAGCCGGACCCTCACGCGTACAACGCTTCGGACAGTACTCCTTACACTTTTCCTGGGACGTGGCAATCATCGCTAAGGGAGAGGCGTGAAGTTCTTCATTCAACAGATGGTGATGGTGGACTCACGTGGCAAGCATTGGTTTGCTCTCATGCAGTTCTCGTGTGCAAAAAGACAGCCGTTCTGAAAGACGCGACAGACGCAATTTACAACTGCCCAGACCAGATCCTTGTAGTAGGGCGAGCATTTGGCAGTAAAAATACAACTATTCGAGCAGTCCCTTTCCTGGGCGTTACCAAGTTGGAGGCCGACCCCCAGCAGAACGATGAGAAAAAGAAACTTGAAGATACTATTCATACTGAAGATGGGGCCGACAAAAAGCAACTGAGGATTCTCCCGCATCCATGCTACCATATATAGAAATGAACTTCAGATAATCAAACTTTGTAACCAGCATCAGAAATGCTGTGCAAATAGCTGATATACTCGCAACAGCTGCTTTGCTGTGTTTTTTAAACATAAATTGTGGGAAGATATTATTGTAAAAATATAAAAAGTCAGCTTATCAACTTCCATAGCAAAAACAACATATTTTTTAAAATTGTATATTATTCAGAAGCTCTAATATTTTTAGAGTATAAGCGTATTCGTCTATTGACACCATCTTTGGAGCTCAGGGCGTTAATGTCAATGGCCGAAGAAGCCGAAGTGTCTCAAACCGTTGTCTATATGTGTTCTCTGGTGCATATTTTTCGCGAGTGCATCTCAGTGCGAGAAACATCGTACAACCGGCATATGTACGTACATTTAAATTATAATAGTAATATTCAGCATTTAAAATAAGCATAATTTATATTGATTTCTGTCTACAGCACATTTTATTGGCAATACTTCGTTTCAGATAATTTGTTTACGTTGAGCATGTTTTTAGGGACAGCTTCCAACGGATGGTTCTCCTATATAAGCTGTAATTGGAAAATAACAAACTTTATGAGCTTAAAGTAGATAAAATAGAACACAAAGGCAGCAGACTATAAAATCTTCTGACCTTTTGCCATGATCGTTTTAAGTTATGAGCTTTGTTAAACAATACTGATCTTTAAATGTTAGAGATTGAAATGGCTATTTTAAATAATATGTGGACATGAATTGAGTTTGATTTAAAGCTATCTCGGAGATACTGACCTATACCATTCCGGCAGGCATATTGATCCAACAGACAACGGTTTGGGAAGGTCATAGAGCGATCCCGGTTGACACCGTTAACGTCGACATATGCAAACCAGCCACACACCCTTTCACCAGCCAGGGGACAGCGCTGAGGACAATACTCCTTACATTTTTCCGGTGATGTGGCGGCCATGGCTGGGCGCGAATGAAAAATATGTGCTTAATTCAGAGGTGAGTATGAACGGTTGCTAAACTTACGCCTCAGGCATTGATTGGCCCTCTGACAGTTGGCTGATCCAAAGAAGCATCCGTTCTGAAAGACGCGACAAACACCGCCCACAACGGCCCAGAAGAGGTCCTTATGGTAGGGGTTACAACGTGCCTGTAAGGTACAGGCACCAGAGCAATCCCTTGTCTGGCCGGAACTCAGCTGCAGGAAACCTACCAAAATGGCGATGAGTAACGACAGCTTGTAGATATCCATGAATACACTGAACTGAGTGATTTCCCAAATGGATGACACCATACTTATATAGCAATAATCTTCAGATCCAGAAAAATAATTTCTGTTTAAACAGCTGCTATACTGATGGCAATATTTGTTCTTTGTTTAATCGAAAAGAATACAAATATAGAAAAAAAACGTACGCTACTACCCAAAAATTAGGAATATATTCTTCTTCTTGTTCTTTTGAGAGCGATATTTGATTAGGGACAGGGTCCAAGGGTTGGATCGTATGCATAGGCTAAAAATAAAAAAAAATTATAGCTGATAGCGGATAGAAAAATCTATGAAGTGTACAAACCGATATCATTCTGGCAGGAATATTGATCGAGCAGACAGCGATTGGGGAACGTAATGTAACGATCACTGTTTACCCCCATGTTATTGATGTACGGGAACCAGCCGCAAACTTGACCATCACTCGGACAACGCCTGGGACAATACTCCTTACACTTATCCGGTGAGGTGGCATTCATTGCTAATGGGAGAAGATCTTGTATACTCTATACAAATTGGGGAAACGCAGAACTTACGTGTGAGGCATTGATTGACCCTCGTGCAGTTTTCGTTTCCAAAGATACAACCGTTCTGGTAGACGCGGCAAACGCCATCCACAATCGCCCACACCAGCTCTTTGTAGTAGGGCGAGCATCGAGAAAACACATTGCAAGTCCTGGCACAGCCCCTAGTTTGGGCGTCACTCAGATGTAGTAATCCACCCAGCAGGACGAGGAGAAACGGCAGCCTGCAGATACCCATGCTGCTAATTATGATGATAGCAGAGAACTGAGATTTCTTCGGTGTAGAATCCCATAATATATAAAAATAATCTTCAGACCCATGTATAATGAAACTCACAGAAGTTCTGTGTAAACAGCTGCGATACTTGTTTTGCTTATTATGCTCTCTATTTAAGTGAAATGAATTAATATTTAGGAAATATATAGGTATGTATGTATGTAATTATTGGAAAGAATTGTTCAAATAATTATAGAAAGTTGAACCTTAATGAACTGACTTGCAACCACGAATGAATTGGAATTCTATCTAAATAATTTGTGAACCTTTACTTCATTTCTTCATCAAATGGCCATGGTGTGAAGGGGGCAGGGTCCCAGGATTGGTTCACCTACATAGGCTATAAATTAGAAAATGTTTCAAGTTAGTCAAGGCTTTACTTGGAATTAATATTGATACAAAAATAGACAAACCCTGAGAATTTTGGCAGGCATATTGATCCAACAGACAACAATTGGGGAAGGACATGTATCGACCGGCGCTGTCGCTATAGGGAAACCATCCGCAAACTTGTACACCCGCTCGAGGGCAGAGTCTCTGGCAAAACTCCTTACACTTCGCCTGAGAGGTGGCAACCAAAGCTATGGAATGGCATATTATTTGTGAAAAAATAGAGATCTGAACTAGATTAGTTACGTGGCAAGCATTGATTGGCCCTCGAGCAGTTTTCGTTTCCAAAGATACAACCATTTTGATAGACACGACATGCACCATTCACAACTGTCCAGACAAGATCCTTGAAGTAGGGCGAGCATCGTACATTGGAAATACAAGTGCCGGAGCAGTCCCTGGTCTGGGCGAGAGTCAGTTGGATAACTCCCCCCAGCAAAGCGATGAGAAAAGACAGCTTGTAGACTTCCATACTGATGTTGACAGATGAGTGAGTGTTTGTGTGTCCTCATGTGCACATATATAGCTGAGAATCTTTAGTTTTTCGTGATCAGCAACAGAATTGTTGTGTGAACAGCTGTGGGAATACGTGGGATCTTTGTTCTCTCTTCATTATGCCACCTGTTGAAATGAAAATAATTACAAATTTGCAAAGAAACTGATCAAATTTATCACTTAACTGGCGACAGCGATTGTGAGGCGTCCAAACACGATCTTTGGTGCATCTTACTCGATATATAGACAGCAGAGTGCGTTTGAATCGATTTATTCTCGTGAGGTTTGAGCTGTGAACGAGACAAGCCGATAGCAGAACAATGATGCAACACAACCAAATTAAACAAGCTTTCATCTTGCTTTATGCAGCTAGAAAGCTAAAGAGATTTGCAAATGAACCAGCCACTTCCAACCATAATAATTCCCATTTCCCGCCTGAAAATTGCAATTTTCCAACGACTTAAGCCAGTTCGAAATAATTAGTACGCTTAGTCACTTTTCGGTTACAACAAAAATCTAGAGAAGGAGCTGCAAAAAGATAGTCTTCGTGGGGTGCGTTTCATACGATTGAAATTTTGAAAGTCATTGTTACGGATAATTTCCTGGCATTTATTTCATTTCGAAAGTAAAATCAACGCACGCTTATGTTTTTGTGTTTGTTTGGATTTTTGATTGACTTTGTCTTTTAAAGGTGTATCAATTTGGACCAAAAAAGCAACAACAAAATGTTCAAACTCCTCAAGTAATAAATCTCCGGGACTGTCAGCTCAACGACACCGTGTGAGTGCCAGTGTGCGTATCTGGTTGACCAACTTCAACGCCCACCCGTCGGTCTGGTCTGGTCTGGCTATGGCCCGGCCTGGTCCGCCTGGTCCGGCCTGCTCTGACGGGGCTGACATGACAAGCGTCTCGAAGCCAAGTGAATGTAAGCCGCTAGTGCTAGGATTATTTACATTTATTTTGAAACTCTTTTAATAATGTGCGTCTCCAATCACCGAGCAAGCTTCAGGACTCCAAAATTACGCTTGTCCTTTAGGCCGTTCTTAAAGGCCACTTTTACTTGTTTGTTTGTCTTCGGGTTGAAAAGGAGGTAAACAGTTTGATGGCATTTCCTTTCTCCCGGTTTCTTGGGCACCACATAATATATTTTCTTCTTAGTCGAAATAACTTTCTTCTTCTTAATTTTTTCTCGTTCATTTGGTTCCTTTGGTTCTTTTCGATTATTCCCTGGCTGAACTGATGTAGCGGGCTTTTTCAAATATTTTATGTATACTTTGTGAACCTCAGATGGATGATGATGGACAGTCATACCCGATGGCCGCATAAAGACATGCTCTTTAACGATCCATTGGCTGAATGTCTGTTGTATGAGCCAATATAGCATCCACACCCACACAGCCGGCATGACCAACTTTCAATTGCAACTGGATTGATCTGTTGGGGAGGGAGTTCAAGTCGTTGACGAAACGAATCGGTTTGTAGCATGAAATGATCGCTGTGAATTGAAAATCAAACATATAATTGTTAAGCTGAACAGCACGTTTTCTGGCCAGACTCCGACCATTTAAGGCGATCCATGCCTAGCGCCAGGGAATTGTAATGCCTGAAGGTTAAAACTCTTAACCAGTTCAAAAGTATGAATGGCTCGAGTGGGCTGGGTGTGGAATGGGTCTGGCTCTGGTGTGTGATAAAGGGGAGGGAACTTTGTAGCCTCTCAATAACAAAACCGATTGATTGACAATCTCCAAAAAGCACTTGAACTGCAATTAAAACTGAGCTATGTAAAAGCGTATGTAATATTTAAATTTAAATGAACTTTAAACAGCTGTTTCCGAGTGCATTGATCTGTTGACAATTATAGCTCATCCCACTGGGGCTGCCCTATAAAAGATCGTCTGACAGCCCGTGATCATCCAGAATATCTCCCTCATCATTACAGCAATGAAGTCGTTTTTTCTGCTCCTTGGACTACTCCTGACCTGTAGCCTTCTTGAAGTTCAATCAGCGGATCTCTGTCCCACCGTCTGCCCGGCAATCTACAATCCAGTCTGCGGAGAGACCCGAATAAATGGTCGACTGGTGCGCTGCCAGTTCAGCAATAGCTGCGTCATGGGAGTCAGCGGTTGTGTCAATAGTCTGAGTAAGTTACAGATACCTTTATTCAAATTATTATATAAGCTAATACGAATTAATATTCATCTGTACGCAGACTGGTGTGCCACGGACTTGAGAAATTGCAGAGTGAATCCAGATATTTGCAAAAGATTGGGAGGAACAGGCCCAACTGTGACGTGAGTTTGCTCTGCAAATATTGTCGTCTTGGCAGAATAAAAGTTGATTTTTTTGTTTGTGCTAAAATACAACCGATGTCAGCAAATTTTTGACGTCTTCTCGGTGTAGGGTACTCGTATACGCAAAACTTAAGACTTAAGAGTGAAGTGCGTTGAAAATAAAAACTTAATGAAAAGAAAAATGGCAAGCTATTAATCTACTCGTATGTACATGTAGGAGGGAAGGATCCAATTTCACTTAAAGGTTGTTTATTTCTAGAGTATTCGATTTGTATCTTAAAGTTAAAAAAATTAATTCTTATATTAAGATAGATAATATTTTCCATCAATTTTTAACTGACATTGTTGGGTATTTAATAGACTCATTTCCATCTGAAACCTAATTTTTGCAGTTCAAATATTTAAAGACGAAGATTGTGTGTGCCATGATCTATTTTTAGGATCAATTGTCTTTTATATGATCATTCTTAGAACCGTTGCTATTTACTTTTTCTCTCACGCTGGTAGGTGGGAAATTCCTACTCTTCAGCAGCTGTTTCCCAGTGACCTTGGCTGACAGTCTCAATTTTAGTCTAGGCCAGCGACTATAAAACCAAATCGGATAGAATTACTGGGGTTAGTGTTCCCTAAACTCTGGCTTACTGCTTTCCTTCGAATAAGTTTAAAAATGCGCCCGAAACTTCTGCTGTTCTGTGCTCTGGTGTGCCTTATCGTCGTCCTGACCGAGGGCAGGCAAAGGAAGGTAAACAGCCGTAGATCCCTGGGTCTCAGGCAGCAGAGGCTTCAACGTAATGTGCGTCACGGAAGCAGGCTGGCTGCCAGAGCAAGACCCAGCCGTGGAAACAGACTTAGTGCCGTCAATAAAAGAAGCAGGAGGAGTCAGCGAAACAGGAAAACCAATGCCAATGCAAAGGCCAAGGCATCAAAGGCCAGGGCGTCAGCCGCTCAGTCAGTCAGTGACGGCTCTGGCTATACCAGCCTGCCGCTCGACTTTCAACAGAACTTTGTACGCACTACAAACAATCTCCGATTCGAGAAGTCTTTCCTGGCCAGCCGATATGGCCAGAGCTTTGCCACGACTACGGGCAAGACTACGTTGAGGAACACGGCCAATATGGAGTACACCTGCAAGATGAACATTGGCACACCGAATCAGTCGTTCACGGTCCTTCCCGACACTGGCAGCTCCAACATCTGGGTTCCGGGCCCCAAATGCACCGACAAGGCATGCAAGACCCACAAGCGATATCATCCGGGCAAGTCCAGCACCTATATAAAGGACGGCAAAGCCTTCGTCATCACCTACGGCTCGGGCAGTGTCAAGGGAACGCTTGCCAGGGACACCGTGCGGGTGGCGGGTCTGGCTGTGACCAACCAGACGTTTGCAATGACCAAAAAGGAGCCGGGCACCACCTTTACGGCATCGAACTTTGATGGTATCCTCGGCCTGGGCTTTCGCAGCATTTCCGTGGACAATGTGAAGACTTTGGTGCAGAATATGTGCTCGCAGAACGTCATCTCGAACTGCGTCTTCAGCATCTGCATGAAGGGCGGCGGGAGCTCGAAGCGGGGTGGGGTCCTCGTCTTTGGCAGCACGGACACCAGTGCTTACACTGGCTCCGAAGCCTACACGTACACGCCCGTCACCAAAAAGGGCTACTGGCAGTTCGACCTACAGGGCTTCTATATGGGCGACACTAAGGTGAGCGGCAGCACCCAGGCCATTGTTGACTCGGGCACATCGCTGATCGCGGCTCCCAAGAGTATCTTTAACAAGATCAACAAGATCCTCGGCTGCACCGTTACCTCCAGCGGCGAGTGCTGGATGTCGTGTGCGAAGAAGGTGTCGGATCTTACCTTCGTTATAGGTGGCAAGAAGTTCGTGCTTGCGGGGAACAAGCTCAAGCTCAAGGTGAGGACCACCAAGGGCCACACAATCTGCATTTCGGCGGTGTCTGACATGGGCACGAACTTCTGGATTCTGGGCGATGCCTTCATCAGACATTTCTGTACAGTGTTCGATGTGACTAGGAATCGCATCGGATTTGCTGCCTCATCGTAAACTTAATTTCCTTGCGACTTTAATGATTTTCGATTCAAAGTTTTCTCTTGAGACTGATCTCAAATAAAAGACGTACGAGTATTTATTCATGAAAATGAAAACACACTACTTATGCATTCTGTATTTCATGACAGCCACCAAATTGGACCTACTTAAAGTGCAGTCACTCTACTAAATCGCCTGCTTAACTAATGAGTTTTACTGCTCTTCTTAATTACGCCTAACAGATGCGCTTACATGAGCGAGTGCCTAGGAGGGCTCTCGCGAAAATGGAAGATTAGCTGGCTCAGTACTCGGTGTAAGCTCATCGAAGATGGCTCGAGTTATGTTTTTGCTGTTCATCAGCTTTGCTGTAACCTTTGCCGGCGATCGTAGGCTACGTATTTCGCTCCATGCCATGGAAAACCCCATCGGGACGGGGCTGGCAGACCGATTCCTCTCAATCAACACAACCACCAACCTGACTGATAGGATCCGTCTGCCGCTGCGGAACCGCAATAATGTGGAGTACTTCGGAATCGTAAGCATGGGCACGCCCAAGCAGATGTTCAAAGTGATGCTAGACACGGGATCCTCGAACACGTGGCTGCCCTCGAGCAACTGTCCGCGCAACAATTGGGCCTGCCGAAAACACAGGCGCTACAACTCCTCCAGATCCAGCAGCCATGTAAAGGACGGGCGCAACTTCACCCTTTTCTATGGTGTTGGCAGTGTGATAGGCTACCTCTCCAAGGATACACTGCACTTTGGCGGAGCTGAGCTTAAAAACCTGACCTTTGGCGAGGCTATGTTCCAGTATCAGAAGGTGTTCGACTCGGTGATCTTTGACGGTATTGTGGGTCTGGGCCTGGGTCAGAGAGCCTGGGTCAACTCGACGCCTTTCCTGGATCTGCTTTGTGCTCAGAACCTGGTGGAGGAGTGTGTGTTCTCTGTGTACCTACGTCGTGTGACGGGATCTTTGCGAGGCGGCGAAATCATGATCGGCGGCACCGATAAATCGCGCTATAGTGGATCCATTCACTACGTGCCGCTCACAGAGTACGGATACTGGAAGTTTGAGATATCTAAAGTATCCGTGGGCTCGGAAAAAATCGATTTAGCAGTGGGTGCAATCCTGGACACTGGTACTTCCAATATCCTGATTCCCGAGAACACCTTCGACATCCTGCACGAGGCTCTGGGAGCCACGACTGATTATGGTATAACCTTCGTCACCTGCGAACTTGAGCAACTGCCCAATATCAAACTGTTGATCGCAGGCAAAACATTTCCCATTACTCCCATGGATTATGTAAAAGAAGTAGTACTTGAAAACAATCAAAAAGTTTGCGCAACTCGGTTTGCTCCAATTAATCTGGACTTCTGGATACTGGGCGATGTCTTTCTGGGGCGCTACTATACGGTCTACGATGCTACAGAGAAGCGGGTTGGTCTAGCCAGGGCGGTTCCAGATGTTGCGACAAAAGTGTAGAGTTCAGTGTCCCAGCAACAGTAAATTAGCGCCAGTGGGTAATGTTATACTTAAATGTATCCAAGTATTCGAGCGTTGATCACTGTCCTTTTTCTATTCGAAATATATAAGTATGTTCAAACGTATACATGATTTTTTTTAGGTTTACGAAACTATCCAATAAGATATACAACCTATAATATATAGTGTAGTTCCGACACTTTTATGAGCCAAACTGTTTGTTCCTTTAGAGTAAGCGATAACTACGAAAAATCCACAAATTCGATTTAAGCCGGAATATAAAATACTGCCGTATGAATCGGTCTATGTAAATAGTAAATTACCCAATTAAAATTAGAAAATATATACGATGTGGAGTGAGTTATATTCTTTCTCACTCATCCAGTGAAATTTTGTTTATAAATTTGAATGACTCGGTACCACTGTGTGGTGGAACCTAATTTGTTGGTGATTATTCGCTGCTTTGTTTATACGAGTACGAGTATGTACAATTAAATGAGCTGTTTATCTACCAAAACATTGAAATTCGTTCAATTTCAACATTAACCGATTCATTCGTCCGATTCGAGTACCAGACGGACATGGGCCATAAAATTGCCGAATTTATAGGCAGTATAAAACAATCGCTGAAAGAATCTGACTCAATTAGTGGAGACCAAGTCTACGGTGCGTGCGGTTGATCAATAATGTTGTGCCTCCTTTGGCTGGTGTCCGTTTGGGCCCTTTGCTGGGCCGGGACCCTATCGGAGGGTCAGCTGATACGCATCCCCATGCAGCTCCAGGCATCGTTCATGGCCACCCGGCGACAGCACCGAGCAGGAAAACAGTTGCTCTACGCCAAGTACAATCTGGCCAACAGTGAGGCATCGCAGAGCAGTGGCGGTGCCAGTGAGCCGCTCGACAATCGATTGAACCTTGAGTATGCCGGTCCCATCAGCATTGGCACCCCCCGACAGCCCTTCAATATGCTGTTTGACACGGGATCCGCTAATCTGTGGGTGCCCAGTGCGGAGTGCTCGGCTAGGAATGTGGCCTGCCAACACCATCATCGCTACAATGCCTCTGCTTCGAGCAGCCATGTGCCCGACGGTCGGCGATTCGCCATCGCCTATGGCACCGGCAGTCTATCTGGCAGGCTGGCCCAGGACACGGTCTCTGTTGGGCGTCTGGTGGTGCAGAATCAAACGTTCGGCATGGCCATCCATGAGCCTGGCTCCACCTTTGTGGATACCAACTTTGCGGGCATTGTGGGTTTGGCTTTCCGTTCCATTGCGGAGCAGCACGCCACTCCGCTCTTCCAGAACATGTGCGACCAGGGCTTGGTGGATCAGTGCGTGTTCTCCTTTTACCTCAAGCGAAATGGCAGCGCCCAGCAGGGTGGCGAGCTGCTTTTCGGCGGCATCGATGCCAGCAGATTCACGGCGCCACTTACCTACGTACCCCTCACCCATGCCGGCTACTGGCAGTTTCAAATGCAGAGCGTGGAAGTCGTTGGCAAGACCATCAGCCAGGGGCGTCAGGCTATAGTGGATACTGGCACCTCGCTGCTGGCGGCCCCGCCGCGAGAGTATTTGATCATCAATAGCCTCCTCGGGGGTCTGCCCACGGCCAGTGGCGAGTACTTGCTCCGGTGCTCGGACATCGGTCGCCTGCCGGAGGTTTTTTTCGTCATTGGGGGCCAGCGCTTCGGGCTGCAGCCGAGGGACTACGTTATGCAGGTGGCCAACGATGACGGCTCCTCGGTGTGTCTGTCAGCCTTCACCTTGATGGACGCGGATTTCTGGATTCTTGGCGATGTCTTCATCGGGCGCTATTACACGGCCTTCGATGCGGCCCAGAGGCGGATCGGCTTTGCCCCAGCCGCCTGAATAACACGTTTTGACTTTTATGAGTAAAAATTTGTAGTTTTGTATTTCATTTCCTACAAAATCTTGGCCACAAAATGAACCAGAGAGAGAGATAGAGAGTGTTAAAGAGAGTTAGTCAAGGGGTGACATATGGAGAACAGCTAGAAACCAGTTTGCGGCTAAAACAGCTGACTAAGTCACGTTCAAGTTCGGCGAGCCCATTGAATATATTAGCCACGTTATTCATTCTTTTCGCTCTGGAGTATATTTTGTACACTCCAATCTGATTAAATTTGTTATTTAACAAAGACACGTTTTATTTTGCTACGAATTCCCCTAACTCGAGAGCGTTCCGCCAGATATATTATTATTAGTTGTTTCCAATCGCAGAGCACCTCCGTCGGCGAGCCCTCTCTATTGCTCTAGCATACGGTTTTTTAGCACCCAAAAAAAATGTATATATTGAACAACAACACGGCAGAAAATTCTCCCACGCACGTAATTAATATTTCCATAGCCCTGGTCAGGCCCCCCTATATAAGCTCATCACAGCACACACCTGGTGGTAGTTTGTCCGCTATCGTAGCTAATAAATATACTAAAAATGAAGTCATTTCTCTCGGTCTGTGTGCTTCTGGCTCTGGCTCTGAGCCAGGTCAAAGCCAATTGTTCCGGAGACTGTCCGGACACGGAGGAGGTTGTCTGGGCTCTGAGCCCTGGTGGAGGTGGTTGCAGTGTCTTCCGGAATAAGTGCTACTTTGACAAGGCGAACTGCACACGCAAGCCACGTAAGCAAATCAGTGGGTCTCTTCGATATGTTCTACAAATATAGACTTGTTATAGCTCTGACCATCACTACCAAGGAGGAGTGCCAAAAAAAGTGCGCCGACATTTGCCCCGCGATATATCAACCCACTTTTGGCATTTACAAGGGGCAGACCCGAAACTTTGGCAATGAGTGCGAAAAGATTGTTTACACATGTCGCACTGGCGAAAGTAAGTGTACCTTACAAACCGTTTAAAAATGATTGTACAATATTTATATTTATAATTTATTCACTTACAGCCTTTTTGTAGAATAATAAAAAACCCCTGGAAGATTATACCTATTAAACATAAAGACGTTTAAAAGAAACTTGATTCGTGTTATGCATATTAAAATGAAAGAGCCGTTGAAGACTGTTCGTCTATGGGTTTCATATTTAAATTGTATTAAGAGATTTATCACAAGGGTATCTCGTAGCCGACCATTATTTTCACTGCGTCGCCAAAGCCAAAATCCGCAAAGAAGAGTTGAGTTACGTAGCCGCTAGTGTTGGTTCTGAGAAACATTTCCATGGGCCTAGACAGAGCTGCGGGTATATAAGCGCATCATTATGTTGGGGAGGAGTTATGTAGTTATTCCGCAAATTCTGCTGCCAGTAGTTGGAAAGATGAAAGATGAAATCATTCTTTTTGGTGTCTCTGTTACTGGTCCTGGCTCTGGCTCAAGTCAGCGCAAATTGTTCCGGGAACTGTCCGGACACGGAGCAGGTTGTCTGGGCTCTGAGCCCTGGTGGTGGTGGGTGCAGTGTCTTCCGGAATAAGTGCTACTTCGCAAAGGCGAACTGTGTTCGCCAGGCCAGGCTCGCAAATCAGTTGATGTCCAATAATCATGCTGTAAATAATTGTAATTCCCATAGCCCTGACCATCACCACTAAGGAGAAGTGTCAGAGTCTCTGCCCCGAAATCTGTCCATTGTTGTATCGCCCCACAACGGGCAATTACAGGGGTCAGATTCGAGAGTTTAGCAATGACTGCGAGAAAAATGTTCACAGCTGTCGCACTGGCGAGAGTAAGTGTGCTTCGGAATCACTTTAAGAAAATCCTTATCTAATACATATTTTAATTTCGTTACAGCTTTTTTGTAAAGCACTTTAAAAAGCTTCAACATTTGAATTACTTGTGGGTTTAAATAAAGCGATTCATCCGAAATCTGTATTTGTTTTCGGGAAAAAAAATTTCGGAAAATCTTTGCTGTGGGGCGATTTAACTTTTGTACCGATTTAAGGTCAGGAATATCTCTTTATTGAAATATTTTTGGGAAAATGACAAATAAAAACAGTTCTTCCACAGTTGAACAAACGATGCTCTTAAAAACAACTTATTTTTATTTATTCTACTTCGCTGTGTATTTTTCCATATATCGAATAAACATCCGATAAATGGAGAGGTTCGTTTATTTATACAGATTTATACAGATCGCTAATGTGGAGCTCTTGGCAATTGATACTTGCCATATTTTGCTCAATTTGTGAATTATAATTTTCGCAGATAACAATTAATTAAATATTTATAAGAGAGACAATAAAGGCTTTGTTTGAAGTATTTTGTTAACATTTCCATGGAAATAATATATGTATATATTTCATTCAGAGTGTAAGCACGTTGTCTGTCTATCGTAGATCTTCACAATAATTACAAAAAAAAAACGAGGGGGAACGTTGTGAGTTGCTGCGGACACCGCAACTCTAGAGTTATACCCGATACTAAGTCAGTATGGCTCTCCTCCGGCAGACGCCGCTAATATTTAACGACACGACAAAGAGTGCGTGCGAGAGAGACAGAAAATCAGTCTGAGCGTGACGTCGGGCGCTGCGTAGCCACTGCAAATTGATTTGTTCCTTTTGGCTAAAAAAATGGTCTGATCTGATCCAGATTCAGCAATCTAATAGATATGGTCATTATCTATGATTCTGCGTTTTTAGTTTTCTCAAATCTGCAATATTGTGGATGCAACAGATTTTCGTCCTTTGTGGGGGCGGATGGGGGTGGGGCGAAATTCTGAGATATACGTTTTATAGTGACATCTTAAAGGAGTGTTTGTACCAAATTTGGTTACTCTAGCCTTAATAGTCTCTGAGATTTGTGGTTGCCTCAGATTTTCGTCCTTTGCGGGGGCGGAAGGGGGTGTGGCGAAATTTGGACATGAAACGGTCAAGGTTCGATATCACAGGAGTGTGGATACCAAATTTGGTTGCTCTGGCTTTTATAGGTTCTGAGATCCTTGAACTCATATTTTGCAATTGGCAAAACCGACCATGAAACCTGTGTGTTAGAGTGAGACAGAGCGAGAAAGAGTGAAATTGTTTTCGTGATTCTGGCTGTAATAATTATACGATCTGGTTCAGATTTTGCACTCTAGAAGATATAGTCATCTTCTACGATTCAGCGTTTTTAGTTTTCTCGTATCGTCGAAATTGTGGATGCCACAGATTTTCGCCCTTTGTGGGGGCGGAAGTGGGCGGGGCAAAGTTTTGAAATATTTTTGGAGCAGTGACATATCACAGAAGTCTGGATCCAAAACATCATTGTTCTAGCTCTTATAGTCTTTGAGCATTAGGCGCTGAAGGGGACGGACAGACGGACAGACGGACAGACGGACGGACGGACAGACAGACAGGGCTCAATCGACTCGGCTATTGATGCTGATCAAGAATATATATACTTTATAGGGTCGGAAACGATTCCTTCTGGACGTTACACACATCCACTTTTACCACAAATCTAATATACCCCAATACTCATTTTTAGTATCGGGTATAATAAATAAAATAATTAAATTCCCGAGGTCAGCACTAATAAGCAGTTTGCTTCATCGGGTTGCTATTCTTAACCCGAAATTTAAAAGTAACTCATATGTTTAATTCAAATTTAAAATTTTGAATAGATGAAATTCCTTTAACTATAATGAAACAGAAAATTTATTAGGATTATAATTCAGAAAATAGTTCTTAAAATAAATTGTATTTGGTTATGAGCTATGTATGTATATATTATGTACATGTTTTAGAAATATAAATGTGGATCATTTTAATGAAACTATCCTTATTATGATAATTATTACTTAATGATAATAATTATGTAGGTATATTATATTATATTTTTATTAATTTCATTCATTCATTCAATCTTCATAGATTGGGTCAAAAAAGCCCTAGTAGACAAATAAACGGTTAAGCTATCAAATCATGGGATATAATCATATAAATATTGACAGTAGTTGAGCGCGCTGATCAGTCGCTGGACATGCAAACATCGAATTAGATGCACGGAACCATGCAGCTTTTGAAGATTTTGTCGCTGGGCATCCTTCTCACCGTGTTGGGATGCATTAGTGCAGAAGAGTACACCCTTTTCGACTGCAGCGTGAAGTACAAGTGCTCGGGGGAAAAGGCACTGGTCTGGGCCACAGCTGATGAGCGATGCTTCGTCTTTCACAATAAATGTCTAATGATGGTGGAGCAGTGTGCTCGTAGTTTCAGCGGAAGATCGGAGCTGATCGAAACGGATAGGGAAACCTGCAAGCCAACCTGCACCAAGGACTGCTTGGATTTGTATGAACCGGTGTGCGCGCAGATCTTCCAGGAGGAGTACATCACGTTCAGCAACGAGTGTGAGATGCGCAACAACCTTTGCGAGAATGAGAGACGTGAGTAGCCCAATGACTAGTTTATTATTTTTCCCTTTAAACAACAACTTATTCTGAATAGCTTACTCCTACTTTGCCATTGGGGAATGCGTTGAGAGTCCAGTGGGATAGCTAATGACGAACAAAAATATGTGTGTTGTAAGCAAATAAAGCATTCTCTGATACTAAATACCTGTTTGAGCACGTTTTACTGAGTTCAGTTAACCCCAGTCCGACCTGCTGGATAGGGTGGAGGACAAAGCTCTTGGAGCTCGAAGAACAACTGGATCAATGGGGCAACTCCGGCTGAGTCATGGTTATTTTGCTTGTGATTTATGTGTTTCGTTCATTTGCGTACTTTTTGGCGTTTTTGCTTGGTTGAGATGTCTTTGCAGTGCTTATCTTTTAATTAATTCTGGAAATGTTTTGATAATTGTCACTAAGTTTTGTCTTTGCCGTCATCCGACTATGAACTGCGGCTATAAAAGTGCCAACCTTTCCTAAAGCAGCATCATTTGACTTTCAAGAAACGGTTGGGGATCTCCAAGAATCCAATCTTTAAAGGCGAATTGAAACAAAATGGCCAGTTTAATTGTCCTTCTGAGTGCCCTGTTCGTACTTGCTCACGGATCGCATCTATCCAATGTCCATCATGGATCCTTTCCCGAACCTCATGAACCTTTCTCCGTGGGACATGGATCTCATTCAGTGGGACGTGAATATCTCCCGGTGGAACATGGATCTATCCCTATTGGACATGGATCTGCCCAGCACTATGGCTTTGCAGCTCCATACGGACACCATCCGTCTGTGACAGGTTCAGGCTTTCCTCATCATCACGGTCATGTAATCGCACATGGCTCAGTACCGGCTCAGCATGTGGTAGGATCTGTCGCTCCAGACTCATATCATCAGGTGGCAGCTCCGGGTTCCTCCACTTATCATCATCATCTTCATGGGGCACTGGCGCCAATTGTGGCTGGAACTGGACATGCTCATGTGCATCAGAATCGCAATTGCCATGCCACCATTCACTGCCCCAACTCTATCAGTCGGACCTATGCCTCCGATGGACATTACTGCTATAGGCTTAACAACCCCTGCGACCTGGCCATAGCGAACTGCAAGCGTCGCAATGAACTGAAACCTAGTAAGAAGTAACTTTTTCTTTGTCCTCGCAATTTTGTGGCTAATGTGTTTCTTTCCTTGCAGTCCTCAGGCATATCAGTCATGGTGAGTGTCATCATCTGCCCAGAGGTCAGAGACCCTACTAAGCCTGCACTTGACCCGATTAATAATCTGACCACTGGCCAAACAAGTTTCTCGTAGGCGCTACTTGATGTTTTTTTTTACATTGGATCGACACAATACAAATACTTAAAGGCATTTTTTAAAGAATTTTTAATTGTTTTTGAAGACCAAAGTTCTAAGAGCTATCTTCCATTTTGTATTTCCTTTTCAGACGAGGGGTTTAACGGCTGGGAGGTAGAAAAGAATTTTATATGGAATTAGTTCTGAGTTTACGCTCGAAAAACATGCATGGTCATTACCTTTAGAGAATTATATTGATCGTAGCTCTCTTTGGCTCTTCTTTTGTGCTTTCTGTGTGCAGTGCTTGTGAGTGTGTGTGGGGAAGTGCAATGGCGAGCGTGTAATGGTGGTAGTGTGAGATTGAGATTCATGGAAGGTGACTGTGGGGTATGCCCAGTTTTTCCATCCAGCACTTGAGAATCTTTAACATCTGCTCGTCGCCCTGCACGATATCATCCAGATAGGGCGAAAAATGGTATAGCATGCCGAACATGCAGTGCTTGATGCCCACAAGTAGCTTATGGTGTGTGCCACACAGTCTGCCGTTCCTGACTATCTTCATATTCTGGGCCGCATTTAGCTGCTTCTCCACCAGAACCAGGGCGCTCAGGAAGCGCATCAGATCGGACTGTATAAACCCGTATTTGTCCTCCCTCAGCGACCGAATGCAGATGCGGACGAGCCCGCGCAGCACATCGTCCAGGTGCTCTGCGCAGCGCAGTGCGTGATTAATCTTCGCAATGGGGTCCGTGTCGAAGAAATAGTGTATCCAGGAGGGAAGCAGGCATTCCCAGATGGGACGGGACCAGGTGGACGGCATCTGGGAATGGTATTCCCAGATGCAACGGAACCAGATACGCAACTTCTGTGGCACGTTGCAGCATCGACACATCTCGTTTTTCTGCAAATGGAATCCGTCTATGGGACCTGAGGGTCGCCCACATTTCGAACACTGTTTTATGGGCTGGCACAAGGATGCACCCGTCCTCCGGACTTGTTGCGTCTGTTTCCTCTGGATAAGATGATCATGAGATGGTAAACACTTTGGGGTAGTCTTTATGGGCAGCGTAGCGGAGAGTTTTCTCATCCCTTCCTTCCGGGGTTTATCCTTTGCATTCCTCTGGAACAGCTGATCGGGGGATGTGGTGTCTTCTATTGCGCTCTTCATATTGGCCACGAACTCGTCCACCATTCCCATTATGACCTCGCGCAGTTCCTGCCAGGATATTGGGTTAATTTTAGCCAGCGAAAAGAGCGTCGGGCAGAGGAAGTCGCATTTGCTGGCTGCTGCTACGTGGAATTCGTGGGCCGCCAGTAGGTGTAGTCCGTAGAGGCACTTCGTATCCAGGGCCATGTGGAATGACAGCTGCAGCTCAATCATTTCCTCCGGCATCGGCCACAGATTCTGCCGGCAGATCCACAACACTACAGGATCCCAGAGTCTCTCGTTGTCTCCCAGGTGCACTCGGGGAATTAGATCCAGTGGCAACTCTTTCTGCATGATCATCTCGTAGATATTCTTGATCATGTGCAGCTTGGTCAGGACAAGGGTGGTCAAGACCAAAGCCCAGAACATCTTCCCAGCGCTCCAGGACGATTGGATCAGGCCAGAGGCGAGCGCTGTCCCGACGACAAGTCCGACTTTTCGGGAGTTACACGTGTTCTGGATTATCGATTGCCATATGTCCAGGCCGCCATCCTTACCAGGCAAAGAGAACCGGCGGAGACATCTCCCACGTTCGGCAAGGAAGTAGGCGATGCCGCAGCAGCAGCCGTGGATCAAGAGAAAGTCAAGACGATCGTCAAAGATGTCCGTAATGAAGCGGGCGTACATCCAGTTCGTGAATATACTCACGTAGAGCACTATGCCTAGCAGCAGAAGTTTCAGCGGGATCTCCATAAGCAGTCGCTGAATTCGTCTCTGATAGTAGATCGGTGGCTTGTTGTGATTGTGGCATAGCAGCAGTCCATAGGCTACCACCCCTGGCTGCACAATAACGAGCAGTACAGTAGATACGAATGTGTCCTCCAGGACACCCAGCAGGTAACTCTGGCAAAACGAGTAAAGCAGGAAGAACAAGTCGAGATAGATGCACAGCAGCGTGGCAACAGAGAAGCGGAATAGCAGCAGATTCCAGATCTCTTTGGGAATCGCCTCGTATTGGGGCATCCACTGAGGACGACAATGCAATTCAATTTCCTTCATATTTTTATTCATTTTACTATTTATACTATTATTTATACTATTATACTATTTTATGGGATTAAACTTTAGCTCTGAATGGAAAGCATATTCTTGGCCCTCTTGGATGAATAGAAATTGACATTTGATAAACTGACTTTCTATTTATTTGCCCCGTTCTTCGAGTAATTTCTACATTCACAAAGTTCTGTAATGCCAAATGGAAGGGACATCAATCTGCTTAACGGATGCAGTCGCAGCTCCGGCACACCGACCCTGGTTGCTGTTGGGCCTGAGGTCAGGTGCCATTAACAGGGACACAACATCTTTCTTTATGGGATTTGCACTGTAATCGATTAATGTAAAATGTAATATTAAACGAAAAGTCCACAACTGAAGTCAGATGATCACGGATAGAACCAGTGAAATTAGCAAACTATTAACATGTTGCATTTTGCAGATAAATTAATGCGGACCATTATAGTAATTTGGTAAGTTTTTAGCCAGTTTCGACACAAAGAACACTCCAATAATGACGCCAACCAAAAACAACCATAACTTTTAGTTATGTCCTGAAACCAATTTCAAATGTACTCATATTCTATTCAAAATGATTTTTAGTTGCAATAAGTTTATTAAACGAAAATTGTGTACACGACTAAGAATTGTTTTGTAGATTTGTAGACAAATGAAAAAATAACATCAAAAAGTTTGTCCAGCAGTTCGGTTCAATGGTTTCCAGGCTGTCTTAGTAGGGTTTCTGATTGCGATTCTTTTGGATACTACCAGATGCAGCCTGAGGCTGACGAATGGGTGAAACTGGTGCCGCAGTCAGACGAGGGCGACCGGCGATGGCTGGCCCAGCAGCAGCCCGTTGGTAGGATCCAGAAGCCTGTTGGCGAGGAGCAGCGACTGGAAGGGCAGGATTACGGGATCCAGACACACGACGAGTGGTGGCGGCAGCTGGAGCTGGGAGAACTGATCCATGGGCGGTCACTGGACGTTGAGGCTGGGGACCAGCTGATCCAATGACAGGTCGATAGCGCCCTGGAGAAGCAGCAGAGATACCACCATAGCCAGATGAAGCGACGCCTGAGTTACGAGATCCCACGGCTGATACTTGTCCAGCGGAAGGAAGTTGCGATCCCTGGGCCAAGACGACCAGGACACTGAGGACAGCAACAATTCGGAATGCCATATTTATTAAGGATGCTTGAGGGAGATTGATTGAACAATAAGATGTTGGAGAGACAACTGATGCTACAACTGGCAAAAACGATCAGTTTTATACTTGATTCAAGAAACAAAATTCAAAACAGTAAACTAATTATTTTAAAGATAATCTCAAGAATGTGAATAAATTCTAACTGGAATTTCCCCATCGACAAAGCACTTTACACTCAAGTTGCATTTGAGTTTGTCGAACTCAAGTACATAAGTATACATGATACCAAGCTGCAGAGTGCAACCGTTATAGAACTAATCCTTTCTACCAATTTTAATAAGCCAACGAGAGGGAACTTTGTGAGTTGCTGCTGCGACCGCAACTCTACATTTATACCCGATACTTAGTCAGTATGGCTCTCCTCCGGCAGTCGGCGCAGATTCTGCAGAACTTATAGTCATTCTCTGCGATTCTGCGTTTTTCGATTTCTCGTATCTTTAAAATTATGGATGCCACAGATGCTGATCAAGAATATGTATACATATATATATATATATCAAGAATATGCTTTATGGGGTCGGAAACGCTTCCTTCTGGACATTACACACATTCCACTTTCACCACAAATCTAATATACCCCTACACTCTTTTTTAGTATGGGGTATATAAATCAGATTGTCATGTTAGAGAGTTGAAAGGACAAAGAACTTGGAAATGTGAACAACTGGATTAATGGGAAATCTCCGGCGTAGCTTTACTTGTTTGTAACCACATGCCGCATCAATTATTTATTTTTACTTATACTTTTAAAATCTTTTATATTTTATATTTATATTTATTTTCAGCTTTCAGGAAAAAATAAAAAAAACCAAATGAAGTTTAAAGTTTAGGCTCTGGAATAAAGTATAAAAGATCTTACTTTTGTCGGAAGTAGCATCAGTTGTCTCTCGAGCATCAATTAAGCCTTTTATAACTCAAGCAATATCCCAAAATTTACTAATAATATCAATATGACATTCCTAATTATTTCTGTGCTCAGTGTCCTGGTCGTCTTGGCCCAGGGATCGCAACTTCCTTCCGCTGGACAAGTATCAGCCGTGGGATCTCGTAACTCAGGCGTCGCTTCATCTGGCTATGGTGGTATCTCTGCTGCTTCTCCAGGGCGCTATCGACCTGTCATTGGATCAGCTGGTCCCCAGCCTCAACGTCCAGTGACTGCCCATGGATCAGTTCTTCCAGCTCCAGCTGCCGCCACCACTCGTCGTGTGTCTGGATCCCGTAATCCTGCCCTTCCAGTCGCTGCTCCTCGCCAACAGGCTTCTGGATCCTACCAACGGGCTGCTGCTGGGCCAGCCATTGCCGGTCGCCCTCGTCTGACTGCGGCACCAGTTTCACCCATTCGTCGGCCTCAGGTTGCATCTGGTAATGTCCACAAGAATCGCAACCAGAAACCCTACTAAGACAGCCTGGAACCCATTGAACCGAACTGCCAAGCATATTATATATTTCTTAAATATTAATTGCAAATAAAATACAACTGTATTTACACGAGATGGTATCGTGAAATAGAATATGACTGTAAACAGACCCAAAAGGTATAGATAATGGTACGTTAAATTCTCTTCTATCCACATATGAAGTGTAACTGGTCCAGTCCGGCTACAAAGTAGGCAATACCTTTTAATAGAAAACATTGATGGATTAATTGAAAACGATGCACTTAGCTTGGTGATTGTTTCAGTTGTTTATTTGAATGTGTTTTATATTATAAGCAAACATTTTAATTATTCGCAAAGTTGATCGAAGTAGCTTACAAGCCTAGTGGGATTTGTAGAGCCGCGAGCCCATCGCAACAAAAGCCATCAAAGCCATCGCTAACTTATTCAAGTAATTAAAAGTGGTTAAAAGTGTCACAAGAAGTCAGCAGCTTATGTGTGTTTAGGGGTAATTGGCAAGACACATTTTGAAAGTTAATTAAAGCAAGTCCAAATAACGAGCCAGTATAAATATCATGTCAGCAAATTTAACTTCGATGCACTACATGTCTTGCCAGATTAACCACTGCACACTTTTTTGGCCAGCTCCTCTAGCAATGTATAATACATGAAGTGCTGGCCAGCGCAGGCACAGAAGCCTCTTTTAATACAATTATGGCATATCTATCATTACTAGCTGCCATTGGTTTAATTGGCATATAGAAGACTTCATTATGGTTTCCATTTTCCATTTGGATATTTTCGAAAAAAAGAAAACCATTTCTTGACTTGGAGTGAAATTGAACATTTGCTAAAAAGCATTTCAACATAGGCTCGAAATAATATGAAATGAGTACGACATAGAGTTTTTGGTAACCTTGCCATATACGGCTCAGGGTCAGGTTATTATCCATAACAATGAAAGCAAATTAGGCTTACGATTGTCTAAGAAATTGCAAATCCAATTGCTTTGATGGGTGAGCAATTGTAAAAACAAATCTGCAAAAATGATATGTCATGGTGGCCAGACTTGAATAAAATTACGTGAATTGGTCAAACATTGGCAATTTGAAAGTTTACCTTTCCTTATGTATAAATTCCGAACAAGATTCATATACTCCCGTTTGGTCTCTGCGGTAATTACTGAAAGCCTTACCCATTCAACTTTGGTGTAAGCCCAATTGGTTGTCTTGTAATTTATCTAATCATATGTGAAGTGTGTGTTTGCCCATTCGGACTCTGAAGTTTAGCAGACCAGAAAGCACAGAACAATCCATGGAAACCATTTCAATCTCAAGTGAATTACTTTCAACCAATCAACACCTAACTTCACAAAAGTACAAAAGTTAAAAAATATCCCATTTAACTTGAGAGCTTACTCGGGGTATTTGATATCATGACTCATACGCAGTGTTGTCGCCAGCTGTGCGATCAGAGTGTGAACACTTTTTTGATTATTTATTTGTATTTGTTAGGCTGACATGCAAGCGTTTCGGGTTTCCAGTTTCTTGTTTTAATTTTAATTACAATTTTCGTATACAATTAGCTAACAAATCAATAAAAATAAGACAAAAATCAAACGACAGATATAAAACAAATAAGAAAAAATTGTGCGAGTATATCAGCAATTGCTCAATCGCTTCGATCAAATAACAAATAACTTTGTGCCGAATATTGACATTTCGTAAGCATTTGAAAAGTGAACGCAGCAGCAAAACCAACCGAAACACACACGAACAAAAAAAAAAAGAAAAAACCTAAATGCAGTGCGTTGGTAAAAATCTTGAACATGTTAAGAATGCTGGCAAGGTTGTCTGCCAAAGCAGCAGCTGCTGGCTCTGCTGTGGTTGTTGGCGTGGGTCTTAGTCTCGATCCTCAAACTCCGTCTCAATCCGAGAGTCCAACTTAATTAAATTGGGTTTTATGTGCCGGACTGGATCGGATCGGCCATTTGGGGCCTGCTGGTGCGCTTGGCCCAGACGACCATGGCGAGGTGAGGCTAATCAAATGGCCAAATTGTAGGCGCGTTTACCATTCAATCCGTTGGCCGACGAGTAATGAGCTTTTTGTCGGCTACACGACTCCATGGCACTATTATGATGTACATGGACAGGGTCCATCGAACGATAAATATCAATTAAGGCACCATCAAATGGCTCAATGGCAGCAAGAAAAATTGAAAACTAATACCGCAGACATGCTAATGTTTTGCTCTACATATCGGGGCTATGCGTAAACAAAAATGTCACACGCCATTAAAAATTAATAGCATGTTTAAAAAAACAAACCGAAGAAACAGCAAATCAGGCGCAGTAAAAAGAGAAGCAGAGAAAAAGGAGCAAAACTCGATGCAGTCAAACCGGGTCGATAATACAAAATTTCGGTGCCTAATGCTTAGACAACAGCGACGGCCCCAACAAAAATTTTAGTTAAATAAAAGAATAAAAACGTGGCACAAACAACTTTTCCAAAAAATGCGTGGTTCATACATTGTTAATACGGTTGTTGTTGCTGTTGCTTTTTCTGCTGTGGTCCAAAATTGTTGCACAATATTCGTGCGTTCATGCAAAGCAATTGTCAAATACGACAAAAGCCCAAAGCCAAAGGCCTCAAAATCGATATGGATTTTGCTATGGAGAATGAGCCCCTGCCACCACAAGAAAAATCATGTTGCGGTGCTTAGGCAAAATTAATTTCAACTGCTTCGCGTTTTGACGTTTTTTGCCCGCATTCTGGCCTATGTTTATTATTGTATCTCTCATTTTATTGTATGCTCGTACTCACTCCCAACTTTTGAGTTATGCTGAAGGCTTTCCTGATTTGTCTATGCGGCTTGACAAATTAAATTAATTGGCTCCAACTGATATGCCTTGGCTCGGACTGGGACGAGGCTCTAAGTGATTGGTCTGCTGGAGGTGCAGCTTGTTTTGGCAAATTGAAAGAAATATACGAAAAATACGTAGCTACAGATTGAGATTTCCTTTAAACATGGTCATGGAAGATTGTGGATAGTGAGTTGTTTTAGCGGTTGTTTTGGTTTGGTTTGGCTGTCACTAAAAATTAATTGAGTTTCTCGGAGGTTAAAATGAAGATTAGAATGATTAGATTAGAATCCGAGAATAACATTGTAGATACATCCTTTTGAAGAATCATAAGTCAGAACAGATACATGTCTTGTACCCTCTCAGTCTCAATTTTTTGAATTAGGTTCATATCCAAAAATAAAAATATTTTTATTAATTACTATTATTTTGTGTCATAAATACATAATAAATGTGTTACCAAAGTCGGATAATAACCTCGTTTATCGACATTAAAAACCATTGAGCAGCAATTCCCTCCCCAAATGACTTTAAATTTACAAAATTTTCTTTGCTAAAAATAAAAATTTTCGAAATCGTCTTGTTCTCTTCTTATTCTTACTTTAATGAATCTTTACAGTCGAAACTTAAAAGAATTTCTTGACTATTTTTGATAATTTATATCCATTGGATTGATTCATATATCAGAACAACATTTCGCACAACAAATTAAAGGAGTAAATAATAAATAAGTTTTATTAGTGATTTGAAGAACGAGTTTAAGCGTAGCGCTTTATATTCACCGTAGAGCTATAAATCTTAATTGTAATTTTAGTGCAGTGATTAATGCCGAATATTGATCGCCATAAAATTGATTTGTTTGTGAGACACTGGGTTAGCATTAAGTTTCCTTGACCAATGATATTGTTTCAGTTTAGTTATCTGCCAACTAACGGAATAGAAAATCAAAAGACTTAGGGAACGAACTTCACACTAGAAAACACTCAACAGCGCAGACTTCACCACACCACAATCCGAACTCAACTCGACTCAAATATAATCAACTTTCACTCAAGCCCGACGATCAAACCAAGCTCAAGCTTCGGCGCTGCTCTCGTCTTTGGGTGTCTGATCGTTGAGTTTGCTGCTCTGCTTGCCGATGTTGATGCCGATGCCAATGGCAAGCCGGCAACTAGCCAAGTGATAACCAAAGAAAAAAGCCGTTTTATTGACTGCTATCGCTGCTGCGGTCGCTGTCGGTGCTGACGCCGGGGCCGGCCTCTCCGGTCGCTGCTGTGCTGCTGCTGCTGTTGCTGTTTCTTCTTTTTGTCTTTTCTGTGGCAGCTTCGACCGGCAGCGTTCAGTTAATTTTTGGACACACTCCGAGGCGGTTGTGCAGGCGGACAATACATGGTAGAAACGGTACTCAACGCCCAGTGCATACAAAGTGATCTTCTGTGTGTGTGAAAGTGAGGCCGCGACGCAAAGCAGGAAACGGGCCGCTAACCAGCAAGTGTTTTCGATCAAAAATAAAAGAAAAGAAAATAAATAGCCAAAAGGCCAGTGACAAAGGGTGAAACTCGAGAGTAAAAGTTGCTGCAGGGAAAAGCCTTAGTAGCGGACAAGTGCTCCCTCCATTGGGTTCTCAGAAAGTGCAAAAGACTCTGGCAACGAACTCGCGGCTAACTCTGCGGCTGCCGCGCCGTACCAACGCACCATCGCACCATCGCACCAGCCAAACAAGGCTTAAGATTAATTAAGGCCAACACAGTCTGCATCGAATATAGCGTGGGCCATCGTCTCTACTTTATTGCCTTGTCGGCCATAATTGGATTAATTTGCAGCCTTTAGCCGTTGCGTGCGAAAAGTATTCGGTGACCAAAAAAAAAAAAAGGCAACAGCCAAACGCATTTAAAGAAGTCATTAACAAGTCGAACAACGGCCAACGGCCAAGTGGCAACGTGCAACGTCAACGAAATGATCTTAAGGTATGTAAGGTGTCTTGGCTTGGCTATTTTTTAATGAGCTGCATTCTCATTTTTGGACACAAATGTTTTCAGTTAATTTTCCTAGAAGCCGCCCCACGCCAAGCCGCGTGTGTGGCAAGTGGTCAGCGTCGACGCTTAGTAGCAAAGAAATGTCTGCCACAGTCAGCGACTGGTTCTTGACATATTTTTTTTTTCCATTTTTATGTAATTTTTACGCGTCTAGCGCGTTTTTATGACAGCTTTCTGTAAACATTTCTTCGAAATATTTGTTTTTTATTTTTTATTTTTGTACCGAGCACTCCTAGAACACAGGGGTATGCTGCATTCTTGTAGAAGAAAACGTTTCCCTTTGTCATCTCCGTTTGTCTGTGTGAACACCTGAAGACCCTAAAGACTCTCCGGAACTAAGAAAAAGAACTACAAGAAAACCTTTTCATGTGCAATCAAGAAAAACATTTTCTACCCATATCCTCTGGAGAAGGGGGTATCCCATAGTCGAAAGGTGTACACTGGTGTTCTTACTTTATGTATTTCGTAAGCGTGTGTGTGTGTGTGCGTTGGTAACTGGAAAGTTCTGACTCGTTGGCACAGAAAGTTTTCGTTTGGTATGCGGCGTTCTGATGATTTTGGGTTGCATGATAAAACGGCGTTGCGCCATATTAGTACCTTGATTCTTCCATTTATATTCAGGTTGAGCCATGAGCCATTGCTGGGATGAGTCCGCTGAGGCGTCAGGCATGTCTTAATGAATGTTAGCTCTGTCTTGGTGTTGTCTAACAACATCCCATGCTAATGGTTTCCTGCCACTTTCTACGAGCGAGTGTGTTTTTTGGCCCCCGGCCACGCGCCATTCCCAGCCCGTAATGATGAACAAATCAGCACCAAAAGCGGCGAAATTAATGAGCATACAGGTCACGCTCTTGGCCGTCTCAGCTTCCGCTGAGTCGAGCCGCACTGCTCCGAACTGATCCGCCAAAGTCACACCTCAGATGCGGGCTTAATATGGGGCTCAGCTGGGGTTTTCGGTTTCGGTTTCGATTTAAATAGTAATTAAGCTAAAGGTGAAAGATAAGTCTTTAAGCAGGCAATATACGTATAGTAATAATATTTAAATTGTTTCTGCTTAGTATCAACAATCAATGATATTTGCAAGGCAATCCGGCTGGGGCTTATCCGCTTTGCACGAAGGCTAGGCAGCCGCCCTCATTTAAATCAGCCAGCCAGGCAGCCGGGCGTGTCCAGGCTATTTGTCATTCCTGGGACCTGGGACCCGTTGTACTGTTTTTGTTGACTTGGCCATAATTTGCCGGCATGTTCTACCGCCTAACGGTATTATCTGGTGGCGGCTCACACCCAACTGGCCAAGAAACATACTAACGGCTGCAATAAGCATAAAACCCGGCTTGCCGGGAATTAGCGAGTAGCTGCTAATTGACTGTGCTCTGCTGGGTCGCCTCGTTCGTTGATTTGTTTTTTCGAATCTCGACTGCAGGCCACCATAAAATAGAGTTATGACCAAGAACAGACCGAGCTCCACTCTTTTTTTTACTCTGGCCAAACGGGGTCATTAACATTGAATGCGAAGTTCAAATCGGGTTGCACAATTGGTCACAATTGTGTGTGTGTGTGCCCCGGCTGGATGTTGAACTTCATGTCCAACCAGTTGCCAGTTGCTGAAATCGATCAGGCGGCGGCAGGCAACGTTTTACTTTCTCCTTAAATGTAGAAGACGAGAAACGGAGCAGCAAACGGGTTGATTTCCTGACTGCCAGCCGGCAATTGTTGGCTGCATCTGCCTCGTGACTAGTCAGAAATCCAGTCCAGCTCGTCGTGCCTCGGTTCGCCTTGCCACGGCTCGGTTTGGACTGGCAAATGTTATAAAATGAAGACATAATTGTGGCCATGGAGAGCCAGCCAGCCAGCCATCCAGGCAGCTAGGCCAGGCAGCCAGGCCAGGCAGGTTGGTAGGCGGGAAGCGTTGATTGCTCTCCTGGTGAATTTGTGTCAAGGCTGCCAGCACTCCAACTTGCAGTTTGCCGATTTGCATGCACATAAATCAGACAATCGGGCCGATCCGGTGTTGGGCTGGGCGTTAGTGCCAAATTGGAAAGCGGCAAAGTAGCGATCGCGCGAAGTGCATTCAATCGAAGTACGAGTCGATGTCGAAGTCGAGATCGGGACTGAGCGATAAAGAGCCGCATTGGGCTGCGTATTAATGAGTGCCAAATCGATCAGTGTGGGGGCCTTTGTTATGGCCAAATAACAGCCAAAGGCTACCAGGCTATGACTGCCTCCAACTCTATCTCTGCCTCTGGCCGCTGGCTTCGTTATATAAACTGCCATAAAAGGTCCACAAGACCCAAGCCAAGAGCCAAGAGCCCAAGCCAAGAGCAGTCAAAGTCATGACTTGTGGTAGCATATTGCCGTTGTTTTCCTCTTTTTTTGGGCATAATGCCTGCCTGATGTGTTTGCCACAATTACTCGCACAACTCATGCAACCAACTCATGCCCCATCCCAATGCCTCGAACAGAAGAAATATTGAAACGACTTATTGCTCAGCCTCACATTGATGGATAAATGGAGGCAGTACATCGACATCCATGGACGTACATATGTATGTATATTGAATGTAACTATATTTTGCAACTGCTCGATTTCTTAAAGTGAATGTTGGTCAACATTCACTTTTGACTTAAAGATCTCTTTCGGCTGTGGATGATGCTGATGCTGATGATGCGCTATTAATGCGCTACATTAAGGTAAATTACTAAAAATCATTTCACTTTCAAAAGCCCGATTCACGTCATGCCTGCCCACAACAACCTTTTGAATTGGTTTCCCATTTTCGATATATTTTTTTAATTAGATTTTTTTTGCATTAGCTGAAGTTGCTTTGATTTCGCGAACTTTTTTGATTGATGTTATAACAAAAGAAAGTCGAACAAGCAGGGATCATGAATAGGAAGGTGATGCCTTGACTGAGTGGACTCGTGATGAATGGAAGAGCGAAAGAGTGCTCTTTATGAATGGGCGCCAGAGGTGGGCCTCTTATTACATTGATGTGATTCAGGTTCAGTGTCGAAAGGGTCTGTGTACAACACATGTTTGAGCCACTGAAAAGTGCTTGAGTTTCAAGAGTCTTTCATTGGTTTATAGCTGACTCACGGGGCGAGAAAGTGTTACAAATAACTATGACAAAATGAAACTTTATTTATTGGGGCCCACATGTACGAGTATCATCCATCCACCTACCAGCGTGAGAACCAAAAGTGAAATGTGCGGTGTATTCACTTCCAACACCGACTGAGATGAAGGCAGCCCTTGGCGCTTATCAGTGGAGCCCCCTGCTAATTGAAATGCAAAAGCTGTCGACGCAATTCGCTGCAAATTGGAGCCTCAACTCGGAACAGATACAGATACGGCTATGAATCGGATCGTGAGAGCCGAGGCAACCCAAATGCACCCATCAAAATTATGTGGTAACCGACGGCAAAACTATGCGGCAGGCTACCTAGGGCAGAAGCAGCAGAAGCACTTTAAACAGAAACAGATGCAACTGCTGGTTACGAGTACGTATCCGTATATATACCTATATTTAGTTTTGAAAATACACACAAATAACAAATAAAAAATGGTATTTAAATAAAGCACAAGCGCACAAATATGCTGCATGTTGGCATGCTGGGCTACGCAACACACAAATTCAAACAAACCGAAAATACCGAAACCCAAAGTAAAGCAAACCGAACTGAACCCGAATAATCACTTGGCTCATTTGTAGGCAGACCAAGTGGAGTATTTCTCCGTGTGTGCTTGCAACATTCGCACTCAAATTGATGATGATGATGATGATCAAGACGATGTGCCAATTGCCAGGCATCATCAGACATACCTGAGCTATGCTATTGAATGCACGAGCCCAGGTAGGCTACAAAAATTTGGTAATTGTTGCAGCTATTTTCGGGGGAAATCTGGGACTCGGCCTGGTGAAAGGCTGGTCTGCGTCTGCGTCTGCGTCTGCCTCTGGCTGCGGCTGTGGCATCACGTGGTGTACTCATACGAGTAAAGCCACCTACATTGTCATTGTCTGAGGATGCTCAGCCGTCTCATAGAAGTGCACTTCAAACTCCGCTAAGAAAGTCAAGGCGGTTGACTTGTTAGAAAAGGCGAAAAAAGGCATTCAAAACAGACATCAGATGCAAAAGTTGTTTTCATTTGATTTATGTACAATCAATGGCAGGTCTGGACAGCAGCCAGTTTTGCATTGAGCTGCACTTCATAATGCCGCCTGAACATTTTGGTCAATAAGTTGGCATTGAATCTATTGCCAGCTATGAGTATGAGGCTGACTGGCTGTTTTACTGGGACCAAGCAGGCCAGGCCAGGCCAGCCAATGCAATTTGTATGCAATTAGCCGAGAGTTTGCCTAGTATAAATCTGCAAGAGGCGGTCTCTCAATTAATAAGCTGTTAAAAGCGTAAAATGCCGTCAGATTGCCAACTTCGGTTATCAGTCAGAGCAAAGATCGGCGGCGTTTTGGCCCCCGATAGCGGCCCAGACACTGCTCAAGTTAGCCAGCTAGCGTTAGCTGGCTACAGCTGCAGCTCGGTTACATTCTATTCGAGCCTAGTCCATAAACTGCACGTAAGCCGTGTCCGATGGCTATCTGGATTGCGTGCGTCGGCCGAGTTGGCTGCTTTTTGGTGATATATCAAACCCTTCACATGCCGAATATCCAGCTTGTGAGTGGATTTCCTCAGAGCGATACGATCGTGAGCGCTTTGTGGGTCAGAGACCGAATTAAGGCAGCTTTGGACCGCTTATCTGGCCCATAACTGTGTCCCATCAAATCTGCATTGCCAATTTATGGCCCAGTAAAAAAGAAGGCGACAGTAATGGCACATAAATGTGCGTCATGTTGCAATTGCCATTGCCGCCGTCTGCCTGCCTGTCTGTGTATCAAGTATGCGCCATGTGATCTCTATTGATTCGATTTGGT